GAGAGAGAGAAAGAAAGAGAGAAAGAAAGAGAAAGAGAAAGAGAGAGAGAGAAAGAAAGAGAAAGAGAGAGAGAGAGAGAGAAAGAGAGAGAGAGAGAAAGAAAGAAAGAGAGAGAGATTTGTATACATCATGGCACATACAGAGGTTAAAGGTGTGCCGGGCTTGATAGAAGAATTGGAAAGGCAAAGGCCGTGAAAGAAAAAGCAATAACGGGCCATTTCACACTCATTTGCATCTAAGCTGATTTCCACTTGTTCAGCAGTCACTCACTCATCATTAAACAGCTGCACAGAGCTCCCTGCATCAACTACCGATGAGAAGCCCAGAAAAAAAACACAGGAGTTGCTAGCGGACATGCAGATGAGGCATTAAGGTCATTTTATGAGCAGCACAGTCCACTAGCCCAGCCTTTGGTGGCTCTGGGCCAGTATTGTCATGCATAATAAGCACAATGTCAATCAGCCATCAAGGTCTTCCGCGATCAATGCAACCGCTCTCCTTTTTTACATTGACCACATCTCATTAAGACAAGGTCACCTTTCATCACTAGGGGCAAGGACTTGTTTTCTGACTGCTGCAAACAGACCATGCTAATGCTTTATCTCTCTGTGATTCTCTGGCTACCCCCTCACTATTTCTTTTGATTGGTTTTAATTTAATGCCTAATCTCACCTTCCAGGACACCCACAGCAAGGAAGCGACCGTAGAAAAGCTCCACCATGGGGTTCTTTGGCTTCTCGCCCTCCCTGAAAGCAAAGAAAAAGGTGGTGTTCAACACACGCCAAAGTTGTTCACAGGAGACATCTCTGATTCAGTTCCATGTAAACAAAGTCCATTTGACTCTGCTTTAAAATGTGCTGTGTAACAACACCAACAAGCATTTGTCTACTGTATGCCCATTCTTTCAACAGTGACCTCTGGACATAAAGAGCTGTGTCACCTGTCTTCTTCAGCCTTCATCTGGAAGGCGTCCTCCAGCCAGTCCAGCAGCTTGTGGGTGAACTCGCTCACATCCTGCTGTTGAGGAAAAGCACATGGATACGTACAAAATGACAAATTACACGATTGTCTTTGGGACATGGAGGTCACAGAGTTAAACTACAGGACTCAACTGTACCTACAAGCAAGAAAGTCCAATCAGTCAAATCAATCCCTTGTCTGTCATCTGCTGATAGACGCTGAGCTTTGGATATGAGATGACTGGTCCTAAGAGTTCACAGATCGTTGAACTTCAAAGGGAACCTGCATGCCATGAGGCCACTCTCTCACAGACATCAATGCCGGCCAGTAATACAGGTCAATGCCTATCTAACCTGGCAAATAGGCATAGCAGTGACATGACTGATGAGTACAGAGGCCATAAGGCTGACCTCAGCTAACCTCTGCGGAGACACTGGCTTAGTGCGAATGCTTATGTAAGGAGAAGAACAGAACACTCTGTACATTTGACATGTGTACGTCACATTATTGGATATATGCACATATCAGCTAATTACTGGTCAATATTTTTCAGCTCAGAGGGGATGATGTTGGTTTGAGGATTAAAAGTTATAGATAAGAGAGGTTAAGTGTCTCGGATTCAGTAGAGCTGAGTCAGCAAAATGACAATGAAACTGAGCAGTCCAGCCTGAGGCTGAATGGACTAGGCACAAAAAGGGGATAAACAAGATTAAATATTTCCTGTATGTACAAACAGTAAAGAAGTGTTTATTTTTTTAATGACATCAACACAAACACAAAGGTGTTTCTACAGGAATTATGAACATTTCTGAAGTGTGACAGTAGGCAAATTGACTGAAACATCCATGTAGTAATACAATTTTTTAAAAAGGTCTCAGGAAGTATAATAAACAATTTAAATGCAACTTATTAAAACAATTGTTAGAAACCTCTCTACAAAATAAAATGAAATGAAAAAGCCATAGGAAACCACTAAAAAAAACAATTTAATCATATAAAAGTTAATCATACTGACAGGAACCCCTCATCTGCACAAGGAGGGATATATATACACTAATGGGAGAAAGGGCATACCCTCCACCTCCGAGCAAGTGGTGCTTACTATGAGGCCAAAAGCTATGCTGAAACATTTAAAATGTATTGTTTGAGTTCAGAAACTACTTAATTGCATGAAGACCAATTCATTAGTAAGTGATTAATAATTGTTATGATCTCTTACGACTAGGAGTGTGCCAAAAAATCGATACAGCAAATTATTGTTATACATTTTTCCATGACACTGTATCAATATTCCAGCCCATCATATCGATTCATGAAATTAAATAAATAAATAAATAAATAAATAAAAAAAAGCACTTTGATGGTTAGCTCAATGCTAACATATAATAGGAATCTCCATTAACATGCTAACGGACATTAGCATCGCAATTAGCAGTCAGTTTTTGTCCGTGCAATGAAGGTCGCAGTGCGTCCATTAAGAAAAGTCTGTAGTTTCCCCAACTGCTGGAAAAGTGAAGGCGGTTAGTGCTAGCTAACATCTCCCTGTACAGCACATTTTTTGGTTGTTATGTAACGTTAGCTAAATTAGTATCGAAGCAATATTAATTAGCTCCACTGTATGTCATTAGTACTAGCTTATCTACTTGTCAAGGGTTGAGATTATCAGGAAGAAGCTTAGACTAAACTGGTGTACAGCTCTGTTCTGTACACATACTGTACATCCTGAGTTATATTTCAGTTTTCAGAGGAGTCTGAAAACTGGTTGTTGAAGAAATGAGGGACCATGGAGCTGAGGTTAATGAAGTAAATTAGGGGATGCAAACTAGTCCTTATAAGCTACTTAGGAGATGTTTCTTTTGGATTTCAATGCGCAAAATTAATGCTTAGTAATTATTAAAGGATAATCATTTTATAAATTGCATCACAGCCCTCTGAATCGTTATCGAACTGAATTGATTCCCACCCCAATAACATACTGAGCAAATACTGAGCTCTGTGTGAAACAAAGAAGAGCTGCTATCTTCACTGGCTTCACTGGCTCCTGTGCTGCTTCAGCACTCTACGCAGACTAGCTACAGCAACCTCAAAGGGTGAAAACTCAAACCCAAAATTCCGAGTCGCCTAAAAATACAGCTATCAGTAGGTGGAGAAAGAGCAGCACACTGAGTCACTTAACAGTTATCAATATAATGTGATGTACACATCAGACTTAGCTGGTACACAGCAATTTGTATTTTCAGCAAAAAAACATTTACATTTTTACGAGCCTTTTGTAAAGAAATGTTTTTATAATAATTTTTCATAGTTGCTCTGTAGTTCTATAATTTTAATTTATAGATGTGTGCTGTGGAATTATGCCGTTTTCTAACTGTTGGAATTTGCAGTAAAAAAAAGGCATAGTTCGCATATATCAACAGATATCGCGATGTATCATCTTAGGATTGTCTAGCAATATATCAATTACTGCAGAATTGCTGTATTGTGATCTTATCATTATCGTGAGCCACGTCTCGTGTATTTTATCATGAGGTACCCTGTGATTCCCACCTCTACTTAAGACACTAAATTTAATATGATGAGCATCTCAGCATCTAGCTAGTCTAAACTGCTATATGAAGTCATGTGTTTTCCACTGAACATCATGGAACTCTATCTGGGGTAATATGTTTGCGGTCTCTTTGATTTCATCAGTAGGAGACACTAATGCAGTAGCGAGAAGATAATCTCTCACCTGCTAGAAATAATGCCGTTCTCTTCATTGAACACTGCATGTACTAAGTGAATGTTATTTTGCCGAGCAGGTTATGGGTGAAAGAGGCTTACCTGCTGCGACTCACTGGACTTAAAGGCGTCTTTCAGGATTTCCACAGCTCGTGACGGATCCACGTATTTCCTCTTGGACCCCACCATCAGGGAAAAGAGGTTCCTCAGCTCCTGCATGAAGGGCAAGTTCCTGTGCTCCTGGTCAGAGTAACACAATCGACTATTTAGTGAATCAAACTTCAGTGTTCAGGGAGAAACTGAAATATTCCCCAACAGATGCATTTACTATTGATGCTGTTGTGTGTTGTTTTAGCCTTCTTTTAAATATGTCATTTTTAAAAAGTATATTTTTGTGACCCATTCTTACAGATTTACATCTTTAGCAAGAACAACTGTGGGCTGAGGAAGTTGCAAAGATTTGAAAGACGCAGTAACACATGGTTGGTGTTGGCCTTTTTAATGGAATTTATTTACTAGGGCTGGCCCGAATGTCATTTTTTGAGCTTCGACAGTAATTCAGAGCAATTAATCGAAGAGTCCAGAGTGAGAGAGTCTGATCCGAGCAGGTCTAGAGCCGAATCCAGGAATAGTTTAGCCGGGCGGGGGTCCAGGCGGAGAGAGCGCACAGGATGAGCGGTGTTTCCGTTAGCGGAACTAAATCTAACACGTTATTATGCAAAATTCACACTTTTAAATTTTAATTATAGCGACAAAATACTCTTCTTCTACAATCGGCCTAATATAATTAAGCTTATTTAAATGCGTTCATTGTGTTGCTGTTTGTTTCCAGCCAACAGTTTGATACTGATTAATTAAAACTTGACTGTTTTGATCTGTAATGAAATTAAGCAATTATAAAATGAATAAACGCCATAACTTCCACACTACTGCAGTCATCACTCAGTTGAAAGTGCTCCCACACAGCTGAGGGCTTCATTTCGTTTTCCCTTTGATGTGAACTTGAGCATTTTGTACTTTTAATGTTTAATCCAAACGGGCTTCAATTAGGGCTGGGCATTTAAATTTCCTTAAGAGTCATTTGAGTATTACGGTAAAGGCCAAAGACTTGGTGCTGTACTTCCCGATTATTAACACACCAATTTATCCACTCACACTCGATTAACAAACCAATTTATCCAAAATAAGTCATCAAAAACATGTCTAATCAATAAATCAATATTTTATTCATCCTGATGAAGCACATTAGAATAATGACAATGGCAGCTTAAAATAAATCCAGTTTCCACGTCACAGAAACTAATTAGGCCCCTTTACTTAAAACTTTGTTGTTTCTCACATGGATTTATTTCAGTATTGAGTAATGCAGTATGATAATCAAACGTATTTCTGCATCAGTGTGGGGCAAAGAAAACAACTGAAACAATTACAAACTACAGTCACAGATTGTGATTGTCTGTAATGTTAGATTCAGCTTCTCGCTCATACGCGGCCGTTAAATAAACAGAAAATATAAAATGGCTGAGCATTACGTTACCATGACAGCAGAGGGGCAGAAATTACTTTTAACAAGGCGGCGATGAAGAAATACTTTTAACATATACATTTTAACGGACTACGTGTCCTCGTGCTAATAATGTGCAGTACTTGTGTGGAGACAGAAAGTAAACACGATTTGTGGTGCTGCCGTCAGTGCTCCGGGATACTTTTGCTTCACGTGTTCATGCTGCTTTACGTATTTGTGGAGAGCAGTTGTGCACAGTAAAGCTGTTTCCAATTCACAGAGCAGCACATTGTTGATTTTCTGTCTAAAATACTCCCAAACTTTAGACGGTCGAAGGCAAGGTCTTGTAGCTGCAGCTTTCCGGGGGAATCCCACTAACACACACTTAATGCGAGTCGACGTATTTACGTAATTGATTGCGCCGACGAATCGCCCCAGCCCAACCACAGACTGAAACGTGGAACACTTTAACAACAAAGTTGTACAATGTACCCATCTTGACATTATAACATTGTGATACAGAGGTGACTTAGTAGTGCATAATAACACACTGGGATGCTGATGTAAATTCTGAGCTCTAGCAGTCTCGTACTGCTTCAGAAAAAGGTCAGTGATCAGAACAGAAGGAACTGATATGAAGAGACCATGCTGCCATAGCAGAGGCTTAGACCAGATTAGTGACAGGCCGCTAACCCTATGGTGAGAACTCTGTAGGGGAAATATGGACAAACAAAACATGCTGAGAACTATCCTGCCAATTCAGTGGTTACTGTGGCTAGACAAATTTGAGTATCTCAGATTTTAAAATCTTCTGGATCAATGAGTACACATTCTCTCTTCATGTTCATTTCTGTCCTGGTGGAGAAACACAGAGGTTTCATCAAACGTTTGACAATAGCTGGCACTTCTTGTAGCTTGCGAACAGTGAGCTACGTGAACTATCAGGGGCACAAAGCTAAGCTGCTGTGATGTTAGGGCAAGATCACACAGCTGCTGAATGGTGCGCACGGCTCCAAGAGGGTCAAACCCTCTGAGCTAAGGCACTGCTAGCTGTGATAGGCTACAGAAGGGAGGCTATGAGATAAACGGAGCTGATGTGAGTTTGCACACGCATCGCAGACTGAAGATATCGCACTCTTGACACTCTGATTTTTGCTACTTAATTTCCTCCAGTCAAGAGCCTGGGAAGAAAGGTGGGGGTCTTACTTTCTGGTTGCGAGGCAGGTCGTGGACTCTGGCTGGCGGTGAGTAGTTGAGCACCAGCCTCTGGAACTCCAGCAGGTTGAACAGAGACTTGAGGTTAAAGAGGGATATAAGACATGTTAGTAACATCCAGTGATAGACAGCCTCAGCCCATATACATCCTTTCATATCAGAGCAACCATGATTAACTGCATTGAAAAATCTAGTGTTGTGTTAAACAGAAATGTTGCAGAATTTTAACCAACTGTTTATCATTATAATGTGGGTAGTTTATGCAAATGTTCAACTTCCCTCCATGTTGCCTGCACCCACAGCTGCCCACTCAACGCTTCATGTGGCAGACTTTTGCCGGCTCTGGGGCTGTTGTTTGAACTCCAGATAGTACTTCTGCATTTTCTCTATACCCACAGACAGTCGGCTTGAGCAACAGGCTCCCGATATGAATACAGCACAATATTGGGTGATGGCAGGTGTTTGCTGGTGGCTTTTTTAGGTTTTCTTGCATAATGAGCAGCGGAACTCAACAGACATGGCAGAAATGACAGCTAAATTATCCACAAATATGATGAAAACCTGGACAGTGCTTGCTGCATCATGTGATACAAGTACAAGAAACAACCTGAGGTGATGTAGGAAAGTAAGGAAATTAGCAAAAACTCACACACGTGCATGTTACATAAGAGGCAAACTCACATTCACTTGCTTAGATGTCATTATGTTGACTGTAACAAAAACTTTTCCCACTAGTGGCAACAATAACAAGATCTACTTCCGCTCACTGCTTTGACATCATGATGTTTCATTTCTGTTTTGTGAGAGAAAGTGAACATAACTGTTGTTAAGATTTGGATATCTTGTCAGGAAAAGAGAAAGTTGTTTACTCATGTTCTTGTACCAAGTGCAGCGGGGTCAGGTTCAAGTAGGGCCTTCTTCTCATGGGTGGGGGTTACATTACACACAGGAGCCAGGCACCATGTGATGGTGTATCCAGTGTTGATCTGGCATATTTCACCTCAGGTCACATTCTACCACTGACTCCACCAACATACAAGAAACTAAGTCTAAAATTGGGCTACAATTAAACTGAAATTAAAAATGAACTGAAATGTCCAAGTATATAAACAGTAGGTGTAAGATCAAAGTAATAGAAGAAATTGCAAAAAGCTAAATTGACACAATCTGAAAAAGGTCTATAGGAAAACTCTTAAGAAGAGGGTTTATTTCATTTGTGTCATTTTCTGAAATTTCAAACGCTGCCTTTCATGGTCTTGGACCTTCAGTGTGTGTGTGCCCACCTGTATGACAGCACTGAACCAGCAGGTATTGCCAACATTTTTCAGCCCCACAGGGGAGTTGTCTATCCTCTTCCTGTCATGCGGGTTGGGTGAATCACTCCATACTTCTGTGTGGGTACGCTTCAGACTTGCCTTGTTCTCCGCTATGCTGGCCTCCAAAACTCTAACGAGCAGCAACAAACAGGCAAAACACAAACAAATTCAATTAAAAACAATAAACATTTTCTCCCAACCAGATGACCTCAGCATTGCCAGACCTCTCTCTCCATTACCTCTGAAAGGTCCAGTTGAACCCACTAGAGTAGAGGGATCACCTGGTTTACAGTGGCTTGCAGAAGTATTCATACGCCTTGAACTTTTCCACATTTTTTATGACAGACGCAAATGTATTTTATTGGGATTTCATGTCATAGACCAACACAAAGTGGCGCATAATTGTGAAGTGGAAGGAAAATTATAAATGGTTTTAAAATAATTTCACAAATAAAAATCTAAAAAGTGTGGTGTGCACCCAATTAGTAAATAGAGTCCATCTGTGTGTAATCTAATCTCAGTATAAATACAGCTGTTCCGTGATGGCCTCAGAGGCTTGTTAAAGATTAGTGAACAAAAAGCACAATGAAGACCACGGAACACACCAGACAGGTCAGGGATAAAGAGAATTGATCAGAGAAGCAGCCAAGAGGCTAATGGTCACTCTGTAGGAGCTGTAGAGATCCACAGCTCAGGTGGGAAAATCTGTCCACAGGACAACTATTAGCTGCACACTCCACAAATCTGGCCTTTATGGAAGAGTGGCAAGAAGAAAGCCGTAAGGAGTCCTGTCTGTGGTTTACCAAAAGCCGTGTGGGGAACACAGCAAACATGTGGAAGAAGGTGGTCTGGTCAGATGAGACCAAAATTTTATGTTTTTGGCCTAAACGCAAGACACTATGTGTGGCGGAAAACTACCACTGCACACCATCCGCACCATGAAACATGGGGTTGCTAGCATCATGCTGTGGGGATGCTTTTCTTCAGCAGGTACAGGGAAGCTGGTCAGAGTTGATGGGAAGATGGATGGAGCTAAATACAGGGCAATCTTGGAAGAAAACCTGTTAGCCTGCAAAAGACTTGAGACTGGGGCGAGGGTTCAACATCCAGCAGGACAATGACCCTAAACATACAGCCAGAGCTTCGATGAAATGGGTTTAGATCAAAGCATATTCATGTGTTAGAATGGCCCAGTCAAAGTCCAGACCTAAATCCATTGAGAATCTGTGGCAAGACTTGAAAATTGCTGTTCACAGACGCTCCCAATTCAATCAGACTGAGCTTGAGCTAATTTGCAAAGCTGGCAGAGACATACCCCAATACACTTGCAGCTGTAATTGCAGTGAAAGGTGGTTTTACAAAGTATTGACTCGGGGGCTGAATACTTTTGCACGCCACACTTTTCAGATTTTTATTTGTAAAACATTTATGGTTGTAACGTGAAAAAAAATGTGGAAAAGTTCAAGGGGTATGAATACTTTTGCAAGACACTGTATGTTCAATTAAACTTCTTAAAAGACATCTTTTGGTTTATTACACAGTAGCGAGTGCAGATTAGTTTTCCTGGATGCTCGGTCACTCACCAGCTCCACTGTTACAGTTTAGCCCGCACTGTACCTTCTAAAATATGAAGTGCTATTTTCAAACTCCTTTCATCTCAACACAGAGCCGAGTCGCAATGCTCGCCACCTGATTGAAGTTGCATCCTTTTATTGAAATTCAAAAGTTCAAAAGGCTCTGTATAAAGGCCATTAGAGGGGCTTATCTCAACGGTCCATATCAGTTCACTCAGAATGGGGCTTAATTAAACTGCATAAACTGTGCTTCAGTCAGGTCATATTGTACTTGATATTAACAGTTGTAGTTTAAAATTTAATGTTAATAGGGCTTTTATTCTCCCTAATTAATCACATGTACAACAAGGTAGGTGACCATTAGCAATACTTTGGACAGTGATGAAGGGAAAACATGACAAGAGGTTAAAGTGGGGACTTTTTCATTCAAATTTTCATTTCCCCATTATTCCTCTGAAACACGCCCTTGTTCAAATAACATTAAACCTCACACCTCGTCTGGGAATGTCCAAAATATTGAAGACCTAATTTCAAAACTGCAGCATTACTTATCTGTTTGACAGAAATTATTAGATCTATTTTTACTGCATGTAACTATTATGTGGCAATCGTGTGTGATCTGATCTGACCTTGTTACATTTAATACATTAGGGATGTTACAATCACGTTTTTTTGGCCCCAATCCTGATCAGGGATCCTGTCATATTTCAATCACATACCAATGTTAATCAAATGTGTTTCTGACACAATGAATTAAGAGCTGTGGCTACTAAATTTGACACCTTACATGTTCCTGATAAAAAAGTGCACTATTGTACAAAAGTTGATAAGCTAAAATTATTGATATGATAATTTGTTTGAGACTCCTGAAACTGATGTGACACGATCTGCTAGAGACGTTTCACTCTGTTGGGAGTTGTGGGAACTATAGAACACTCTCTAGTAACCGCTGATATGATCTGACACCTTTGTCATTTCATCGGGTAAAAGCGTCAGTCAGCGCCGCCTAAAAATGAGAAGCTGCTGCCTGAATGTTTTGTACACGGCTCTTTGCTAATAAGAGAGCAGACAGATAACCGATTGCTTAGCGTCTGTGTAATTTGCTGGCCATCAGAACAGACTCAGTGTTGCTACCAATTAATTTTTCCCTTTCACACACTCCCTCATACGGAGAGAATTGCTTGCAGTGTAAAACCCGGCTGTCATTAAAGAGAGCAGCGCTGCAACACTGGCAGTGTTTCCCCTACCATTGTTTTGGGGTGGGCGGCACGCCCTCCAAAACGACCTCCTGTCCCCTTGAAAGAATGACAAAAACAGCCTATATATCATTTGGCTATATTCTGAAAAAAAAAACAGAACGGACAGGCGCAAGCTCAAGCTGTTTTCTCTCTCTCTCACACACACACACACACACACACACACAGGGAATTCGCTCGTCCCCCCAACAGTTCAATTCTTTTGTACGTTGTCGCCTAACATTGTTCTGGTGTTTATCAGAGCTGCTTCTGCCCTCTCTGTCTGTGTTTCTTAACGGCACCTCTACACTGACACACGCTGTCAAATTGAAGACGGCGTGCTAGCAAGAGCTGACTTCATCGAACTCAGAGAAACAAAATCACGTTGGCAGATGAAAGACGAAAGCTCACTGAAGATTCCGTGGCTGTGTGGGCAGAGTCGGGTAATTTAAAATTCAAACCATACGTTTGGTCAAGGATTGTAAACAAGGATGCCCGCTGCCCACGTGAGAGTAGCCTCTGTCAGGCCCACTTATTTCCTGTGTTCAGCAGCATATAGAGGCTGTCAAGTCATAACCTGTTTGATAGGGGACAATTCACAATCCATGTATAGCTGTGAATTTAAATAGTATAACTGTTTGAACATTATACTGTTGCAGCAGCCTACATTTATTCCCCAGAAATAATTGCACATGCATTTGAAGATAATAGTTTTTCATAATACATCAAATTCATTTATATTGATTCAATTTGTAATATTTTCTTATTGAATTGTTGAAATTTTATTCCCCACCACATGACTACACTCTTTCTGATGGCAAAAAGTGCTTCAACTGTAAAACACAGAATTCAGAAGATTTTCAACAGAAACAAGGAATCTGGCAAAAAAATCGGGGTCCGATTCATGCTCTCATCACTCAATATCTGAATGTAGTAGAACTATAGCAACTCCATCAGGAGGTAGTAGCTTTAGCGATAAAAATGACAAAGAGGAACGGGGAAGGTGCCGTACCTAAACAGGCAAATATTACTAAGTTGCATCAATGGCGACTCAACGTATCTGTAACACGCCCGTTCTGTGACACTAGTAGTTTCAGGGGGTCGACCACCCCCACTGAAAAAAATCCTAGGGGAAACACAGAGTTCGGTAAAGAAAGGATTTTCATTGGCTTTATTTTAGTCGATACCTCTCTATTAAAATATGCTCAGATGAGCTCACGACATCCCTGGTTATTAGGGGGCTTCTGTTTCTTTTTCACTACATATGAACAATCCAGCATTGCAAACCACAGAAGCATGAAAGATATATTTTCATCACCGCCTGCACTAAAATGGAGACAGTGTAGTTGCTACATGCGGATATTCAACAAGGGCATGGTGCAAACTGCTTTGTAACGGTTTAGTCGGATGTGGAGTCCAGAATTTCTTGGCATATTTGTCAGTAATACTGTTGAGCCCACCTGCTGATAGCCTGCTCCTCATCAGTGATGCCTGTCTCCCTGAATGCCCGATTGGACTCCTCCAGGCTGAGGGCGATAGCCCTCTGCAGGTCATCTTTATCGTCTCCCGTCAGGTCAATCACATCTGTGTTACACACACACACACACGCACGCACACACACACGCACACGGCAATTTGGTTTGCATTAACACCAATTTTACCTTTATGGTTGATACGCAACAATTTAGGGAAGAATTCAAAACCCTTTAGTTTTTTCACATTTTCTTTAAGGAACTACTGTTGATCACGTATGATGTTTTACTTACATCACAGTATATACAATAATCCATATACACAAACATGTAGAATTGTTTTCAGATGATTTAAAATTAAAATACAGAAATGGTATACAGATTGAGACTTTCTCTTATAAAACTATAAATTGAATTTATGAGTTTCCTTTTCTTTTAATCATCCCTGTGAGGTCTCCAGAACTTCCGTGCCAAAAGTTTAAGTAAGCTGCTCACTTGTGTCTGCCTGGCTGCCCACGCTGATATATCTGTCGCTGGCCACCTGGGACGTCTGATAGTAGGTTGTCTCATCTTGCTGTGGAACCTTGGCGTTCTTCTCTGTCAGGAACGCCACAGCCTCGCCCAGGTCTCCATTGCTCACCTGCAGCAACAATGTGTTTGTTAAGGCGTAAGTCAGTTGGCTATGAACACAGGACAATAATTAGCGGACATACACACTGGAGTCCAACAGATAGATCGGCGTGCCTTATTATAGGCCGATATAAGGTAATTGCAGATAAATTGGTAGCTGTGTTAATAACAGCAGATAAATAATAATTAAAAAGAAACAAAGAGAGGGAAGACAGGTCCTTCAATTATGTTATGTGTTGTCGCTGCATAGTTTGTCGGAGGGCATGTTTGGAACACCACAAATCCACCACAAAACAGAGCTATCAGCTCACATAATTACCCGTACTTTTGTTCAAAGTAGGGCTGGGCAATAAAACAATAATGATAATTATCAATCTGCTATATCAATATAATATAACAGATGTTTAGTAAATGTTTGATTTAATAAATATGAATAACGAACAAATTAGCACTTTTTCTATTAAGATATTTAGTTTGTTGAGGAAAAGGGACTAAAAATGTTTTTATTTTATTCATGTATATTTGTTGAAAAAAGATTTTATCATAATTATTTTGAATGTTCTACTTCAATAGTTTCTATCTTTCACTCAGGAGGAAAAACTACTTTTAAACTTGAAAGAAATAAAATTTGTTAATTGTTAATTTATCCATATCAAATGATATGAAATGTTTTATTGTGAAAACATTTTTGAATATACCAGCCCTAGTTCAAAGTACTATTTCTAACAATAAAAACGTTTTAAACTCCATTATGTCATGTTATCTTGGTGAAGTCACATAACTATACATATCAAATGTTGGGGATAATCTTTGTTTATGTTAAGTATTTCTGACAGGAAGGGGAAAAAAGAATTTCGTCTGATGTCCCAGAATATCGGATTTTAAAATCCTTAAATATCAAAACCTGTATCGGTCTTTAAAAAAAAAAACATATCGGCCGGTCTCTACTACACACAGAGACACATATACGCAAGGTCTGCAATGCACATGTTTCATTATGTACCTGCAGTGCCTGCTGAAGCAACTGAACGTCTGTGGTGCCTGTGACCTCCCTCAACTGGTTTAGTAGCGTCTGCTGGTGCTGTTGAAGGGAAAAGAATAGAGGATGATACAAGTCAGTTCAGAGCAGAGCCTGATTACAGAGAAGTAGAAAGTGGCTTAAACCAGGTTCAGGTTCTAAAAAAAACAACATACAACATAACTGCAAGGGTGAAGAAAGCCAAACATTTTAACTAAGTCAATAATAAACTTACTCATAAGGCTATTACACACTTCAATGACAGTTGAAGTATGTCTAGCTAAGGTTACAAGGGAATGTTCAATATTGTGTTTATTGTTTCATTATTGTAAGGATAAATTATTATTATCAAATAATGTTGATTATTAAAAAAACTAGAATTTGCAGAGTGATTGCATCATAGGGTTTGGTCATGGTTACTCACGGTAACACAGTTCAGTTGACCATTCTCTGAACAGCTATAAGTTTGGAACCAATGTAGAGGGGATGCACAAATAATGTTGCACCAACACTGCTGGTTGACAATGCTTTACAGTGTCTAACTAAACTCTAATTAAAAGGGTTGGGCCGATAGACGATGCCATCGTCGATGGCTGACAGACATCACAAGGTTGAGCTGGCATCGTGATTGTAACCCCCCCACCCCCACCCCCCAACAATATCTCAAATCTTCACATAATACCACCCTTTGAAATCAGGTTTTAATGACCACGAACATTCTTATCATTGTTTTTAGTATGCTTAGCACCTGCCTTGGAATTCTCTTCTCCCCACACTCTGACACACACACACACACCTACACCTCAGGTAAACACAGCGGCTTGCCCCGCCTCTCTCTCCCCCGTCTGCTCCATTTTCTCCATCAGCAGTATGTTTTATAAAGTCGCTTAAAAGACTGAGAACTCGTCTTTTTTCCTTATATTTCCACACACGATCCGTTACCGCGGCAGCAGGTGAGCCGCACGTCGCCTTGTTAATGACGCAGCCTATCAAACAACTGAAACCAACATCTGCACCCGGTGTGTTCAAAGCTGCTTTACCTGGTCCGTAAAATATCCACCGCGACTTGTAACGTAACTTAATAGTCTACCAATTTTTTCTTTACCGAGTGAAGTCTGTGCGAGAACACATGCACATAAGATGACTGCTGCCCCATGACATCGTCCATCCCGATGTTTCATTGTAGACATCGCTCAACCCTACTGATTAACCATTAATGTCCATAGTCATGACAAAGTCACATTCCATAGAACCAACATCTGACTGCATCTAGCTCAACACTGTCCAGAGGTAAAAGCTGAACAGTAAAAAAATAAAATATAATGTCGACCTGGAGCTTTATCCTTCGAATAGACTGGGAAACTCTGATCTGTATTAAGCATCAGTATCAACAGTATTAAAGTAACCATTAATCACAAAACAATGCTAATGTCAAATCATAATGTTATGCATTATAATTTGAACATATCTAATATGAACTTCAAGAACTGATAGAATATCTAACAGGAACAGTATCTATTCAGATCTGACCGTTCGCATCCCTACTAATGAGTTCAACTAAGTCTGATGACCTACTGATGCCTACCCCAGCTGGACTGCATTACCTTACCACACACACTTACTCTGCAATGCACTGCATGAATAAAAGCACTATAAATAATGTGGGGAGTGCACTTAGTGTCAGCGTCCAAGGCAAGTCTTAAGTCTTAAGTGAGAGGAACACACACTTCTACTGCTTTCACAGGTGCAGCAGACAAGAAATAAGAGCGTCTGTGGTTTAGAACTAATGTAGGTTGTTTTCACACCAAGATTGATTACACAAAACACATCCATGGAAACGGTGTACAGCATCTACGCCCCTGACATTTTTAAACACTTTTAATGGAGTTGCTACAGCTACTACACAAAGGGCACTGTAAACCCAGTCATGCTTGGGAGCATGACATGCCATAAAGCAGCAGCAGCACCAAACAACTAACTAAATTAGTTTTCATCAAACATGTGTTTTGTGCTGTGCTCTTACAGTGCAGTGAATGAATCTGTACAATGAATGATAAAAAGGTAAACAAATCTAGAAAATGGCCTCAGATCTGGGATAACATACATGCAAACTAAAAGTAAAAAGATTTTAATTTCAGGTATGCAAAAATAGAATTAGGGGGACTTTGTTGTAAGATAGAAAACCTGCAGACCAGAAAAGAGCACAAGTATGGTTGGGCCGATGAAAAAAATATTCACACCGGTTTGATATATTTTTGTCACGCGGAAACTTGTGGATCCTCGCATACTCGGAAAGTATAATCCTTGCTTCAGAGTGTGGCAACAGCTGAGTGACACATAACCAGATTGTTTTTTATACAGTCTATGGTAGTACCACATCACTACCAGGCACTGGTAAAAACAAAGGATAAAAACTAAAGACAAAACCCACTTTTACAATTTAATGACTATTCAAAAATTTGAAATTCATGGTACATCCCTTATTTTAATTTTATCAAAAATTAATTTAGTATAATGTAGACTACCTCTAGGTGTGTATTTGTCCTGAACTGTATGGTAACAAGACATTTGGTTCGCTATGCAACGCCCTTGGTTCAGTAGGCCCTGTGACGCAACCTGACTTATCTTAACGATATGTCAGCATATACACAGAGGTGCAGAGACGCAGGTGAAGTGTAACTCATGTTGGCGACAACCTGTAACATTACGTAACACTGAAATTCAATCATAGGGTTGTATCGGGAGACGCAGTGACTTAAACCAATGGCAAAAAAAGTATTAGTAGTAGTAGTAAAAATTATTTTGTAAATTGTTGCTGAGTAGAGGAAAAGTCTGCAAGCTGCTAGGCTAATTTAAGCAGCGTAAAGTGCCATGGGTGACTAGCAAAAGACAATTGTTTTAGCTATGAACTCTACCCCCAAAGCAGTCATCCTAGGGCTGGACGATATGGCCAAAAATGTTATCACGATAAAAAGTTTCATATCTTTCGATATCGATAATTATCACAATAAGTATCAAATCATTATTTCTTTCAGGTTTAAAGGCTGATTTTTGCTCCCGAGTAAAAGTTGAAGAAACCTGATGGTTAATCGTGGTTTAAACTTTTCTTTATGGTCAACACTGGACATCACTTTACAAATCTGAGGTAGAACATTCAAAACAATTATGATAAAATCTTTGTCAATAAATAAAATTATGTAAAAGCTTTTTCCCTTTTTCCTCCACAAAATAAACATCTTGATGAAAAAATTAAGTCCTAATTCGTTAATGATTCAAGTGAATAAAATCAAACATTTATTGAACATTTTGTTCTATTGTTGTTGAAAAAAAATTATATTACCATAACTATTGTTTTTGTTTTATTGTCCAGCCCTAAGCCATCGTAGGGGAAACACCGCTTAGTGTCTCTGCTATATGTGTGTACGTATATGTACATACACCTCTGATTACCTCATTACAATTCAACTGTGGCACACGCCAATCAAAAGGATTTTCCATTAATAATGCGAAATGCTAGCACAGAGGGACTACTATGTGTGAACTTATTGAAGAATATATATTGTCATCACAACAAACTAGGCCTATTAGAAGAACTATGATTTGCACCTGAGCACTGACAGGTCAGCCAATAACATCAGAAAAGCGTCTGTCCTACTGTACTCAATTCTTCCAGCCCAGTCCTGCTATCAACTGCATGGTTTTCTGTGAGCTCTCAAAAGCAAAAGTGCTTTATTTAACCCCAGGGGCAAATGTTCTCACAGAGTCACCGGAGAAAGTCAAAAGAAAGTTCACGCCTTTGTTAGAGTTACAGCAAATAAATAATGCACTAAACCCAATTTGTCTGTGACCATGCTCACGGTTTACTAGACAAGGATACAGGAGCCTACTGTAGCATGTTAGGTCAGAGCAAAAGGCTGGTAGGGCCTCACTGACACTCTTCCATCAGCTGTTCAAAGATATTTTATCAACATTTGTAACAACACATTAACACTGAAGAAAACACAGCTTTCGCCAAAGGCTCCAATTACAGCAGGGCAATATTTTTGTGACATCTGGCTCTGTTTGCATGGTTCATGAACATTCATGCACTTATAAAAGCTTTACAGTACCACGTTTCAACCACAGGAGACAAGTAAACATGATGATGACGGTGTGTTTTGGTCACTGTCAGAGAATGATTGATGCGGGGTTGTTGGCAGGAAGGATGGCAGGGTTAGTGAAGTGTGAGGGAAGTTACACCTGTGATAGATTTGGGCCAATTCAACCACATGAGCAGTTAGACCCCCCCACCCACACATGTACTTCTCATCTCCATGTGAGATGTCTGGCATGTCCGTTTGTCACACTGATCATCAGCCATTTAGAGGCAAGTTGTGAATAACACCACAGAATGATCCGCATGGCACAGGGGACCACTTTGAGGATGCCCAGCAGGTTACAGACGGGGGCATTCCCGGTGAATCTACTATCAGGTTCTCACAGCTGCTTTCTTTGTATGTGCATGCGAAGGAGCTGCAAACAAAAACAAACTGCACAGACAGAAGTATAACATGACCCCATCTGACTGCCTACCAGTCACTACATGAAAACCTGCACCACACCCTGCTCTCATGAAACACACTAATGGACCACAACTGTAATAACTAACTAAATCCCACCACACACCCATGTACTGTCAAAACAAACCAGATGTGAACAACTCTGGATGCTGAGTATTAGAAAACGGGGTACTATAAAAGCTGTTTTTAAAAAATCTATTAATTCATAATTCATCATCATAAGTCATGTATAGTGGCCTAAAATTGCTGAAAAATGTATCAAGACAATTTTAGCCCATCTTTGCAGTCATTGTTGTTAATCATGGTTTCATTTCAGCCCCTGAAAAGGTCAGACTGCATAATAGGGTGTGTGTTACAGTGCTACTTTTAGGTTTGAGTCATCAACAGAGGACTATTAAGTATTTATTTCAGCCTATGCTCCAGACTTCTGACTGTCAACAGCCCATTATGTTTTTTCGGTAAGTGAGCTACACGGAAGAACCAAAGTACTGCATTTTATGCAGTGTGGTAAAACATGGCTGTGATCACATAACTCTTATGCTAAATTATTATGAATTTTCAGTTGGACAAGCGGACCAAACATCTAGCATACGTGTGAGTGGTTACATAACTAACCAAAGCTATGAAATGCTGGACACGGTGGTCCCACAACCAGGAGCCAAAGCAACGGAATCAACCCTTTAATGCACTTTCGTAAAAGTGTAACATAATATTCCGCCTTCTCGGTTATAAACCTCATCACACTTGGCTCGCTATCTGGCTTCCCAATCTCCGCCAAGCATCAAGGCTCGGCTGTGATTCCACCTCCGCCGATGGCCACGCTTTGTAAACAAAGATATCAGATGTGCGATGAGTAACGTTAACCCAGAAAACATTTAAAAGAGCATCTACTTCTCTGAAGTAAACATCGTCCTTGTTGGTAAACTATGGTTACATCATGAAGGGTCTGCAGCAAGCTTCCAGTGAAAATAAAAGATTTAACAACACTAACTTTAAATCTGTCACTTGGCCCTGTTTATTTCAATTGACGACACAGGTGAGCATGTTAACGTTACCAATGGAAGAATAGTCCGTATCAATGCGTGTTAGCAAACGTAACGTTACACAAACAACGCCAAGCTTTACCCTAACTTTACTTTACGTGGTACCGTTAGCTAACGTCGGCTAACGTTAACGGCTAGCACAATATTAGATAACGCTTTGCGCTAGGATAACATCAGGCCTATGTTAAACAAATCTACTTGCGATTTATAATTTGTTCCTTGCCAACAGGTGGTTCGTAACCTTATTAAAAGTCAATTGAAGGTTAACATAAGTGACCAAGAAGATGTGTCGCCGACTCTGCGAGTACTAAAACTAGGTAGCTATATAGTTAGCTTAGGCTAACGTTAGCTAGCCACCAAGTTAGCTTCTGTAAGCTTCACGTTACCTTCTGAGAATGCTGCTGGAGGACATTCTGCTCCACGGTCATGGCGGGTTGGGTTCGGAGATAAATTGTATTGAATTCAAGCCAGGAGTGGCAAAACGCACGAGATACTTTTTACTAAGGCAAATTAAAACACGGTGCTAAGATGTCCCCTCCTTAATCAGCGACATAACGGGCGCCATGGCACAGTGACTAGAAAGCGCAGGTCTACAGCACTGATGAAAACATTGCTCTGCGATCTATTACTCACGTCTGTCCCGGTCTGAATTGCATTACGTCACGGGCCAAGCTTTAGAAAATAAGAATAACAAGATTTTGACATGATTTTTGTGATTGTATTATAGACCACATCTTTCCTGGATTTGTGTTAAGCTGTAGATGTTTGATCTTCATGATCTTAACATCAAATCGTAACTCAAGTACAATTAAAGTCCCATTAAAAAACGTAGTAACTTACCACCTTATTAACCTGATAATTATTTGGCAAAAATGTAGGCTCCATTGATAAGAGTAAATTAAGCCCCCTTTAAAAATGCAATTGCAAATGCAAACAATTTTATTTGTGATAATATGACAGCAATTACACTTACACTGTCTGCCTATTACCTTCAATATTTCTCGAGTGTAGGTTTTTGTATTTTTCCCTTGGCGTTTCTGTTTTGAACGGGTTATGTATATATGATGCGGTACCAATTTGTTCCTTTAAAGGCAGGGAATAACCATATTATACTCACAACTACTACCATAGGCTAAATAATCTTTGTTTGTAAAACGCAATGGTTTTGAAATTCTTTTACAATCTTACAAAGATATTAGAAAGCGAGATCAATACCTGGCAGTGTGCAATACTTTTCCAGCTGTGGATAAATGCTGTTTTGGTATATTTTAGTTTAATGGAAACAATGTGAACCAAAATATTCAATCAGTTCTTCCATGTTTTAAAGTCCCATAGCTAAGTGCATAGCCTAGATGTAATCATAATATTATCTAAGGACATAGAACAAGGCCATATTAATAGCCTACTGTTTTGTAGGCTACAGACAGGAAAGTTGTGACAGGTGTGTTGCTAAATATTGACCTTGCTTTACATTATTTGTTAGGTTAGGCTTCATTCTGTATTCCTAATGTACTGAATAATTTGATGGTTTGAGTTCACAAAAGAAATGTCAATTGCTGTCAAGTGAGAGTAAACAAGTCAGTGCTCTGTTAAATTTTAAATATCCTGATCCATAATAAGTAATAAACATTACAGCTGCGAGAAGAAAGGAGAGGAAAATGTGCTGTATTAAGGGAATCAGCTGTATTTTCTTCTGATTGTTTCCATGCCTTTTTTACTAAAAGCCCTTGCATAAGCAAGTTGTTTGATTTCCCCCAAATTCACCTGTGAAACACTTGTTATCAGCCACAGAAATGATCAATTCTGCCCTGATTGCAATCACCTTTTATTTTGTGTTGTATGTTCAATATAGTTTTGCTTGAGCTGGATAAAGGCTTCTAGCATGTGCCCTTCACTGCCTACACTGAAATGCTCAACTGTTTCATTCTGCTCTCACTTGCCTCCAGGAGGTGCTGTAACAACAGCACAAACTTGTGGAATGTCCATGCCATTGATGGTGATCGGGTTTACAATTTAAAAACATTGGGTTTATTATGGAAATGAGGAGTAGGTATCTAGAATAAGGTGAGCTTTTTTTTCTTGATTGGAAAGCAGTGATCCTCTTTTCTGTCTTCTTCAAAGACACTCATTTCTAAAAGGTTCTTGGAGCAAGCTGTTTTCTGTCAGAAACAGATTGAAGTAATCTAATGCATATCAATAATGAGTATTTGTTCTGTACTTAGTAGGCCTACTTGTACTTTTACTGGAGTAAAACTTTAAATGCAGGATTTTTACTCGTAATGGAGTTTTGTCACTCTGTGTATTGATACATTAGTAAAGGGTCACAACACTTCTCCTGCTATCACTGCTATTTACAAATAAATAAGCAAAGAGTGAAAATGATTATGGGCATCGCACACTGAATGAAATGTAAATTCAATTCTTAATTTTAACATAGTGAACAAACATGTGCTAGAAGCCTTTTTAAATGCCATCAAATATTGCCCCACCTGTGTTTGAACATGAATACATTGAAAGCATTTTGGCTCTCCACTATGAAGCTTGCAGCAATATATCTGAGCCACGGACTAAGCTAAGTATAACAAATTCCAAGTGTGTCCAATTTAGGGAGCTTTGATCATTTATCTAGTAACTTCTCACAACTCTTGACCTCTACCAGCTTTACAGTGTGTGAACCCCAGAATCATTACTGTGTGCAGGCTATTCTTTAGACAGTTTAATGGAAGTGCTGGAGTCTAGGTTTCATCGGTTAAACAACACAGCTTTTGTGGTTTATGGGGAAAGGGACTAAATTCAGTTGTCCAATTTGTGGCCTATTATTCAGACAGATAAAATAACACCAACATCCAAATACTGGCCATTTCAAATCTGTCAGCTGTGATTAATTCAGTGCAAGTTAGAAGAGAACAGTCCTCTTGCACAGAACTGGGTCATCCTTTAGATGTCCAGGAATAGCATTATTGTAATAGTTATAACTGAAGCAGTCAGCATGCTTTGTTAACATGAACTGTGTCATCTAACTGGTACATATAAATATTAATGGGAATAGTCAGAACTTTGTGGTGTTATTGGGGGAAGGATTTAGCAACAACAACAGGGATGTTATGAAGCAAGATTTCATCAGAATATATTTTGCAATTTTATTACACAAGCATATATAAGCAAGTGTGCAAAAGTGCCATTTGACTATACATGCACGAAACATAGTAGATATCAGTACATTCTTTTGCCGTAGCCTTAATGCTTTATTCAGTACACACATTAGCTTTTCAGCGTTGCACTGTCGTTCAGCCTTTGTGCAGCAGATGGCAACATCCTCCTTTGGAGCGCCAGCTTGCATAATGACAGACCCACACAGCAGCAGCAGGAATGTACAAAAGGAAATGGATCACGAAAATGATTCCACTTGGCAAATCAAGTAGCATTATAAATCATAAAGTCCGTTTCCCCATTTTCAGCACTGCACCTTGATCAATATTTTATACTTCTACGTGCAGCATGCTGAAATACTGACTGACCACCAGAGTGTGTGAAGGTTACCTTAAGCACCCAGAACATCCCTTAAAACAGCCTTCTTGTCTGAGCAGACACATCACACAGTTGACCTCAAGGCAGGAGGTAGAGCTATCAGTCAAAGAATCTGGGAAGCTGTCAGGAAACCAATCAGAAAATAAGTTGATGAATCAATTGGCAAAGTCAAACAGTAGCCTGAATAGATCCTTGGCTGACAAGCTGATATAAAGAGCTCAGACTTGTTTGTTGAAGATCAAAACAGATCCTGAAAGTGAGCCTGGGGGCTGTATGATAATAGCTTCACTCACACCAGGACATTTAAAATCCCCCTACTCTCTGTCTGATTCAGTAATCCACCACAAACACAATGTACATCATAACTGTATTTTAAAGTAAATTTTGAAAATTAGTGATAACAATAATCGTAAAATATTTGTTGCCAGTACTTGTTAATATGATAACCAAGAGGGATACAGATTGTATCCTGCTAAATAGATACAATTTCAAGGTCTTGTTTCTGTTACTTTATTTCAATTGACGACACATACAGGCCTGTACGGCTCTTTCTTCAAGAAACATACAGGTCCTACATGTTTCTTGAACTGGAGGCCTTTTCTGGGCACATACTGTATATTGTGATGTCAAATTTTATTAAAATTAAATATAATTTCAAATTTAATGAAGATTTATGTGCTTTACCTATTGATTGTCATTTAACTATTTTTTTCACTTGGTGCGTGCTTTAGATTGGAAAAAGAATGGAAAAAGGCATTGAAAATTATTTTCAAAGCAGTCCCTTCCCTCCAGGATTCTCACTTCTTAGCAAATGTCACCAGCGACTAGTCTATTGCTAAAATAAGACAATTTCCAAACAGAACAGGTTGAGTTGGTGCCGACACTATATATGCAATCATCATATGGAATATCAATTTTTACTTCATTGTTTATGTTTTGTTATCATTGTTTAATCACTTTTTTCTTGTTGCTGCTTGCTGTTTATAAGCTCATTATATATTTTTATCTGATGTAAGTAGACCTTGAGTGCCATGAAAGGCGCCATCAAATAAAATGTATTGTTATTATTCATGTTATTATTATTATTAGCATTTATAGGCCAATACAGTGTTTTGGAAACAGAATGTTGAAACGCATCCTAGATCATCTCCTCCGTGCTGCCCTCTTAAGTCTGTTTGTGCACTTGCCATGTTTTAGAAACAGGCGGGGTTCCAAGGCTACAGATTGATACTGTAGAGTTATTGTGACTAGAGCTATTTTTTTTTATTAAGTAAGGGCTTGAGGCAATTACATGTCTCTGAATCTGGCTGACAAAGCATCCTCCATTATCATCCACCCACTCTAGAACAGACCATTGTGCTGGTCACTATAAGAAATTGAGTTGTGATAATTTTTACGAGTGTAGTCTATCACATAATGGCTTTAAGTCCAAATGAGTTGGCACAGTCACTATGAAATTTGATGTAATTGTTAGGTTCTCTTTTTGAAGCAGACAGAATCTAGTCGCTCGGAGCATACTGAAACTCAATATCTTTTACAATTTCTAAAGGCACAGAGTGCAACTGCTTAATTGGTAAATATTAATACTGGTTGTCCAATTACACATAATTCAAAGACATACACTTAAACACGTGGTTAGTTTATAAGACAAAATTATATTTTGTAGGCAAACATAGATTATAACCATTATACCCGGAAAATGTGTTCAGTCAATCAAGATGTCTGTATTTGATTGATATATTGTTTGACTGGCCACTTCTGAGAAGTTATTTTCAACACTGCTGACTTATAGTTTCCCAACAGGATATTTATCTGTGATAAAATAAGAAACCATAAAAACTAACGTGTCACCTCAAAGCATTTTTTCTTCGGACTAAAGCATGGAACCATATATGAGGTTTTGATATTCGTATAAGCAAGATAAGCCTCGGTGTGTTTTGCGGTGAGGGGAAATTACAGTGTCACATAGACATTTTGGTAGCTTATCCTCATATTTAATATCAAATACAGACACAGACGCCTATCATAGATGTTAATATGTGATACAGAAAATAGGAACACCACGTACCTGAGGGGCATCTCAGCACAGCAAAGCTTATAGTCAGTAAAGACATGTCATTGTATTTTGTTGGAAACAGTCATGGCAGCAGTAATACATAGTTCATTTAATTATAAACAACACTGATTGTGTCCTTTCCCTTTGCTGTTTTTTTCCCTCCGAGTGCAATATGAGCATTGATTTTATGACAGTGTAAAGAATGAAGTAGTTAAACCCTGGTGCAGCTGCTTGTAGGGCATCCTGAAAAAATCTTTGTTTGTGAGGATTTCTAGGTTTTTAATTCTTATTATGGTAAACATTCGCCACACACACTAGAAAGTCCCCTTTACGTAATAAGCTCGTTTTCATATTTAAGGAATTTTTTTAAATTAATGCCCCAAACCAGAATCTGTACATATGAATTTAAGTATTTTACCACAGGGTGTTTCAGAGAAAGTGGGAAAACATTTCCCTGATGTGGAAGATTTTGTATAATGTTTTTCATGTACATGTGCTGACTGAGTGTAAATGAGGTCGTAAGCAACATTTTCATTCATAGACACTCAAAATGTAAATCCTGAGTCCTATGAAGGGTTTTAAAAAATCCCACATTAAATAATTTCATGCACGGAATGCATAGAAATCTCACTTTTAGATCAAGACTATCAAAAGTCCATGGCCATGCAGCCAACCCCGTGAGGCTGTGCTTTGGCACAGTGGTGCCAATTTGAGCTAAATACCTATAAAAGCATGGCCACATGCTCACAATATGACAAAGCTATCATGCTGATGTTTAGCAGGTATAATATTTAGCATGTTCACTATCTTAGTTAAGCATGTTAGCATACTCACCTTTGCTTATTTCCATTGGTAACATTAACAAAATACAGGTGAGGTTGAAAAGGACATATTGGAAATTTAACCTGATGATGGGACTAGATGAAAAGTCAGAGGATCACCAAAGTTGTTACAATTCATTCTGAGGGGAACATGAACATCTTTACCAAATTTCATGGCAATCCATTCAGTCGTTCAGAGATATTTCAGTTTGGACCAAAGTGCAGTCATTAAATAAAATTTAAGCAATTATCATTTGGAGCTTCATACTGCTGTTTAACATCATAAAATATTGAACAATGACAAAGAAACATATGTCTGTCCCCTCATCGTATCTTACATTTCCAGTGTTCATCTAAATACTGTATCACATCGTCAAACGTGTTAAGTGCTTTTAACATTCTTTTTGAGATGTACCTAAATCCCTTCTGAATGCCAGATGCAGCTCTGCCGTGTTTTTCTGTCTGACTTCACACTGAGTGGAACATCAGAGCACAAACTCAACAGAGTTAAATTTGGTATAAATGGTCCTTAGCCCCCACAGCACAAAGTTCACATCCCTAGCTGGTTTAAGCCAGACTGACTGACACTGAACCGCCCTTTCTCATTCTAGCAGGGATTTTGAGAAATGTTTACTTGGAAAGTTCATGACCCTGCAGATCAACCACATGTCATTGTTTGTGATGGAACATACAGGAAATTAGTGGTGTATAAACTTCCTGAAGATGAGATTTCTCTCAAGAAAGTGTGAGAGTTTGGTGAGATGAGTTAACATCAAGTTAACTGAGATTAAGTTAAGGTCGGAGTCAGGTCAAGAGTCAAATTAATCACCTCTGAAAACATCATAGAGCACTAAAGAGATCACAATGTGAATCAGAAGAAATTATGTGAGAAGAATTAACAGGAGCATGCTTCCACGTCTGAGAAGATCCGCTGAGACGTTGGCAGACAGAGGTTGACATTGCTAGATCTCCCCAGCCAGTTTGTAAAACATTTACCCTCGTGCTTATCTGACATGGCAAATATCATCCATGTTCTTCCAACGTCAGCCAAGATCCCTCAAGCTGACAGGCTGCATTGTGGACCACAGGGACTCTCACCCGTCATGAATATTACATTGGGTCTGTTTACATGCTTTCACATGGCCACCAATAAGCAAGCTTTACAAAATAGCTATCACTGATCTTAGCAGCTACTTCACACCCAATGGACTCACTGGTGAAGTAGTCTTTGAATTATTGTTTCCACCCTTTCTGCAGACTCTTTGCACATCAAGGTTATTAGTCATTCATGACTAATTACTGCTTCGTGTATTTAGACTAGGGGGCCATGGGAAGCAGTAAGGGTCAGGAGCTATCAGCCATGAAAGGAAAGAAAGGACTTGTCAAAGGATTTGACGCTGCCACTTGTCATATTTACACGAAACTTTAGAAGAATGGCCTGGATGTAATGCTGGGGAAGGGAAGGGGGGTGGAAGGTGGGTGGTGCTGGTGGTTTGTTGTGTGGTTTTGTGTAGAGAGGGAGGGTGGGGGTGCCACAGCTGCAGGCCAACAGTTGATCCTGTCCCGGGAAACAGGATCAGCCAGGTCAGGGCAGGGAGGAGGGTAAAAGGTCGTGACCCCGGGAGGTTAAGGAACAGACTTCACAAAGAGGTACATCTTCAAAAGCAAACGCCCCACTGGGGGATCTGGTCTTAGGTTGGGAAAATAAACCAATTTTGACCTCCTTTCTCAGAGCAGGAGTTTCCCCAGGTGTTTGTTTTAACCTCTTTGTTGTTGTCTGACATGAAGCACTGCTCTCATGTATACTTACACTCATCCAGGCACTGCAGCGGCAGTACTTCAAGGCAAAGTATAGAAGGATTTTTAGTGATATTTTTTTAAGCAAGAAAGTGTGGTATTTTGTATTTTACCAATTTATCAATGCATTCTGCCTTTATGACACTCCAAATGGGGTCATGCGACCCATAAAATGCTAATGTTTGTGTGAGTGTGTGTGTGTTTACATAACATGTGAGGTCAAACCATGTGCTCAAAGTTCAAACACTTGTATGAGGAGAGGGTGATCGAACATCTGTGGGCATATTTATCACACCAATCACCAATCACCATGACAACTAGTGACAAGTGTTAGCTCTGTATGGCCTCCATGTGAACAAACAAAGCACCTAACAAGAAGATCTCATTTACACTCAAATCTATGCACGACAGTTGGTGTTTTAAACAGTCCGTGCGTTCCCATGTAGATAAACCCGTGCCCGAGCACATTAAGTCAGACCATTAAGTTGTTTGTCAGAGAATAAGCATCTGTAATTCCAGGAAATACTTTTTGGAGGGCTCATAACTATGAAATGCCTGTTGTGGGACTTCTGAGTCCTTGGCCTCTAGTTAAGTCATTGGTGGCCTGGTGTGCGGCGTTCACATCCTTTTGGCGTCATGCTGAGGTCAGGAAATCAAAGAGAGAAGCCGCAGACAAACAGCCGATTGTCAAGTTTTACACCTTGACCTCAGCTTAAACTTGTGACTCCCTCCTTTATGTTTGCCGCTGCTTCAGCAATCAGAGGAAATCAAGAGGTTACTGCTGGTTCAGTCTTGATAAGAATCTTGAAATGGAGAAGTTCAGCGAGGGGAAAGGTTACTGGGAGTTTAAAGAGAGTGCAGTCAGTCATGGGGAGTATTAAAGAAAAGGGAAGTCGGGGCTGAGGAACTGCACTACGATTTCAAAATTGCACTGAGAGACAAAAAGCCGTCTGTCCGCTCACTGGACTTCATATTCAAACCCAGAGCAAGGGAAGTTTAGCTTGAACTCATCTTCACCTTTAGGAAGTCTCTTGCTACCGGCTGTTTTTCTTTTTTTTTTTAAACTGGACAACTTTCTGGACTCACAAGAATTAAGGTTTTGTGTTGACTGTACAATGAGATCTATTTTGGGTTCTAAATGAAAGATATATGTTCCATTTTGTAAGGCACATCCTTGGGCATTCAGTGTACATCTGGTGACCTCCATGTGTCCTCCCTCCTTTCAGTGTCTTTCCTGTCTTTGTTAAGACTCAGCAGCAATGTAGTGAACAGCAGCCAACTCAGAAGCAGAAGTTTTGGGGTGAATACAGGACATCCTCTTACTCTACTTTAACAGACCAGATTATTTCATTGCATGCAGTGCAGTTTGGCTTTGATGTCCTTTTTAAATAATAATCTGTATTGTGAGGCAAATCGGATATTGGGATGTATGGTGCCACAATTTCCCTTTTGGTTGCTGTGGTTTACTTTATGTTCTGTAAATGTGACAATTCACATGAACTGAAGGCTGCACATGACCCATGTACAGTTTAAATGAATCAAAAGAAATACCAATGTTTTATTGTTGCACCTGAAAGACTATAGCTTACCCCAGATAACACCTTCTACTATCTGGTATACTTGCACACTTCCCCAGTCTGTGCATGAGAAAAACACACTTCTGAATGTCAAACTAGAAAAAGAGGAACACATTCATACTAGGTCATGCATTTCAGTACTTTATTTCTGAGATATCAGTGCAAATGAACACCAAAAATGAAAACATAAAAAATGAAATAATGTTTCAGGTTTCACATGAAAAAATGAAACACCTTTTTTTTTTAGTATTTGCTGCTACAAATGTATTTCTTAGATGCACAATGCAGATCTATGATTGTACGTCAATCCCCCACTATAGCCCCAAGCTCTTTCACAGAGCTTTGTTAACCAGTAACAGAAAAGAAAATCACAAAAATATTCAATGCACGTTTATTTTTCACACATTTTAAATCAACTTGCTCAACAGTCTGTGGTTATTTAGGGACTGTTCATATTCTAAACGAACCTCTCTCTGTGATAAAAAAGACCTATTTTAAGACTTGACATTTTCCCCCATCACCAGTAGGGATACACAGGTAGTTCCCATGCGTCTGCATGCAACAGGCAGCAGTGAGGAGAGTCAGACATTATTACACAACACAGCGCAGGATAGATTATCATTTACCACATAGAGACACATGCAAAGAACAAACCAACCAAAAAAAGATGGGCATAGCATCCTCTGCCTTTGTATGTACACTTGTACGCATATAATTCATATTTACATATCAGGGCATTAAAAACTAGGGTAATATCTTTTCTTAAACATTACAAAATAGTCATCTTTCATACTGAAAGTACTATTTACACAAATATATTTAACCATTGTGAAAATGTATTAATAATCGAAGAGACGTACTTCATAGGTATATGTATTAAAAAGATCACAAGACTAAATGGATGAAGCAATGTGTGAAATTAACTTAAAGGAATACAGTACAATCAAAATAAAGAGCTAGATACCAGATATCCCTCAAGACACCAAAATGTCTTGGTGATTATTGGGGGGCAGGTACACATATCCAGCTGCTTTGAAAAGAAAGATGTACCTGTGGTCTTCTCTAATTATCATGCAATTCTTTTGACATTTTATGAGTTAAGAGACTGCCACAAAATAAAATATGTCCATAAACCACAACAGTTAAGAAGTGATGAAAGAAACCCACAAACTGTCAAATTCTGAACAGATAACAATACTGACATTTTTTTTATTACATGCCATTAAATTATTCTGAAAAGGACACAGAGGACTCAGCTTCGACAGTGCAAACTCTGGGTGCTCCTTAATATGAAATAAAAAGAAAAAGCCATGTGCTTCACACTCTGAACTTTTGTGTGCATGAAGAAAAGTGGTGCGGGTTTACCCACGATGGTAAGATAAGTTTCTCAGACACTGCAACCTTTTAACTGTTGCTCTAGAAACCTGTTTACATACAGTTGCTCAACTGTAAGCACCGCACACGCTCTGTTGACCCATCTGTTCAAGACTGCACAATCTACATACGCATCACCCTGAATTTGCACTGTAGAATATTGCCCTTAAAAGTTCAATTCAAATAAAAGCATAACTCAATGAATCGTGATCATTCAAATCTCCATTGATATATTCTTACTCCATTGGTAATTATACCATACCATGAATCTTGAGGAAAAGCAAGACAAAGCATTCATTGTGGTAGGATCCTCGCTGAAGCTATTGCAGCGTGAATATTGTTTTCAAGGTCCTCCTTAGAATGAATTTGTCATGTACATAGTTGTAATAGACCACTGTGTCTGCCCTAGAATGACTTTATTTGGAATCTTATCTAAAATTGATGGGACTCTGTCTATCTGAAAATGTTCTAATGGAGAAAATAAATAAATGTCCACTGAACTGAGCGCTAACATTTTTGGAGTCGTCAATAATAAATGTTGCCTGAAATGTTCTTTCTAAATCTTTTATGGCAGACAACAAAGAGGACATGGAATAGTGATATGTGTACAATTCAGATATAAATAATAAGTGTAAAACAAGACCAAATTGGAAAGGAGGACTTAATAACTGACAAAATAAAATATATAGTGCATGATAATCACTGATGGGAAAGGTTAAATTTGTGACAGTTGTGCAGTTTTGGTTAAATCAATTAGACATTTTGCTAAGATAGACCTGTTTTGTACCATTCCATGACCTCACTATTTAAAATTGAGAAACCAATGTATGTATGCATCTGAAGTACGCATTTGAATTTGAACTTGCTCTATTCCACTAAAAAAAATCATGTTTGCATTCTTTGTTAGTTGTTTCATCAAACCAATTTGGCAAGCCATTAAAAAAAAAAAAAAAAAAAAAAAAAAAGAGTCAATGAATTCGATTCCATTTTGTTTTTTTCTGTAGTTGATACAACTTCTATTCAGATGATTGGCTCAGCCCCTGGCTCTCATGGCTGTGCTTGTCATTGTGGGTCGGTGATTGCGGGGTGGAGCTCAGACTGTGTTCATAGGCATGCATGTCACTGATTGGCTCTTCTTTAACTCTGACTACAGACTGGGTTCCCTCTGTCTGATCCCTCACCTCCTTCCTCAGCTGAATGCTGCCCTTCTGCAACATGTAATACAGGATGGGGTTGGAACGCGAGAGCCGTGGAGAGTCCAGGTTTGAGTCACAACCCTCCTCCTCCTCCTGACTACTCCATCGCACAGGACTCTCAGGCTCCTGTTTGACTAGAGTAGGGGGGTCCCGTTTTTGAGTGACTGGCCATGGAGCTGGGTGGCGACTCCACGGGGTATGGATAGGGCTGTCACCTGCAGGGGGGGTGGGCAGTGGTCTGAGATTACTCGGGAGCCCTGAGTTGAGGGAACCATGGGGGTGCCAGCTAGGCAGGTGGAGGAAGCTGTGATTATGGGCAGGCTGGCTGAGAATGCTGCCATTGGCCTTCCCATTGGCCTGCAGGACGGAAGGACTGGGTGTCCCCCGGGGCTGCTGGGACAGCTCCTTCAGACAGTTGTCAGAGAGCAGCAGCTGTTTGAGCACATTGAAGCCCCGGCTCTCTCTGGTGAGGGTTTCACTTGGTGGGCTCCTGGGTGGAGCCTCCTCTTCTTTCAGACTCCTCTGCTGCTCAGGCTCTTCCTGAACAGCAGAAGAGGCAAAAATGTTTGTGTTGCCACTCTCCGCTGCTCTTGGAGAGCTGGTATTATTCAAAGTATCAGTCCGATCAGAGCAGAGACGTCTCTTCTTAGGACTGGGGCTTGGATACTCCCTCTGTTCCTCTTTAAACTGTCTGGGCTGTGACTCAGCCTGCACAGCAGCACTGGTATAGTAGGTAGCAGTCTGTTGTTTAAGCAACTGGCTGAGGAGGCCGTATTTTGCAATGACCTCTGCAGGCCGCGGTTCTGTTTTAAAGTCGTGCTGAGAATCTGAAAGGGGGCTATTCTTCTCATAGCCACTAGGTCTCTTTCTGCCACTCGAGTCCTCAGACATGACTGGGGATGGTCCCACCTCTTCCGTGAGCTCCGTTTTGACCTTTATGTCCGAAGGGGGGCCATTGGAGCTGTCACAGATGATGGAAACACCAGGACTCTTCTCATAGCACCCTCCAGCCACGTCCACACTCCTTCTGCCACTGCCACCGGGCCTATCTTTGCGGCCGACTGTAGCAGTAGCTGAGCCTGTTCCTAGAAGGAGCTGCAGCACGGTGCGCCGCTCTAAAAGGTTCTCAATCTGTGATGACGGAGGAGAAGCCTCCTTCCGACTGAAAGGTGTGCCACTGCCTGATGGTCCATCAGAGAGTGGAGTGGTGGTGGTCCTATGGATTGGAGCATTAAGCCTTTCCAATAGGGCAAGGGGCCTGCTGGCATCGGGCTCCTGACCCAGCCCTTTGCTGGAGGGGATGGGTGGGGAAGAAGAAGCTGTGCCACACTGAGCCAGATTCTGTAACAGTTTACTGGCACTGAAGGCGGGCTCTGAATTCTTCTCAGCAGGGAAGGCTTTAGACTTACACAAATCCAGTGGGCTGGATTGGACATGGGGGGAGGGGTAAGAGTAAGGGGATAGTGCGCCACTAGGATCACGACTAAGTGAGTAGAGGGGCTGAGCTGGGACTACAGGTCTGTCTATGGAGCTTTTTGTCCTGGTCTCCTCCCAGGGCACCAGTCCCTTTGGCTGGCCTCGAGCCATGGTGGACATAGTTATATCAAGTGGTAAATCCTGGTTAACTACACTTTTATTAACCATTTCATTATTTCTGCGCTCAAGAAGAAGCTGCATAAGAGTGACCTTAGGGTGGGATTTTAGGTCTGGGCTCATTTCAGGCTCCTTGTTGTTGGACACTTTTGATCCTGATGGCTCTGGTTTCCACTTGTTTATTAAAGATTCTGTTAGTTTGTCCAGGGAAGAGGTAGACATAGAGGAAGAGGAAGAAATAGCAGTGGACACAGAGGAGACGACAGTAGAGGATGGTGAAAAGGTCGTGGTGGAAGCTTGGGGAGAGAATGCAACTGGAGTGGAGGAAAACACACTGGTGGAAGAAGAGAGGGTAGAGGTGGAAGAGGAGAAGGAGGAGAAGGAGGAAGAGGGGGTGGTAGTTTTGGGCCCTGTGTCTTGTGTATTCACCCGGCTTCTCATGGAGAGGTCAATGGGAGAGCAACTTGAGTAGGAACTCTCTGCATCACTGCTGTCCTTGGTCAGGCTTCTCTCCTGGATAGAGCACTCGCTGTCTGATGTGACTGAAGAGGAGCCACTTGGTGGCAGAATGCCACAGCTGTCCTCCAGGTGTCCATTCTTGGTCAGCTGCTTCTGGTTGTTGTGGTTGTTGAGTAGCAGCAGCAGCAAGCTGCTGCATGTCTGGGGGGGACGGGTTGGACGTGAGTCAAAGCCTCGCTTCTCCCTAGGTGGTTGGCTGTCAGTGTGGTTTGGAGCATGAGGGGTAGTGGGCGGGGAGCTTTGGCTATGGCCACGCAGCAAAGAAGGGCTCTGTGGACTGGACAGGGCCGTTCGAGGGAGTGTTGTTGTTATTGTGGCTGTTGTTGTCATTCCATTTTGGGTTGTTAAGGAGCTTAGTGTGTCTGGGGCTCCAGGCAGAGTCCCTCCCACACTAGGTGGCCTTTTGTCCTGGCCATGCTGCTGGTTTGCCATGGCAGCTAGTCTCTCGCTGGCAGATCTTCCAGAGAGCTGGGCTTTGAGGGCATGCTCTCTGGAGTACTGCTGGAGATGGGCTTCACTGGACAGCAGCAGGGCCAGTTGACTGCAGGCCACACTGGGCTTGGGTGAAGGTGCTGGACTAGACCGAATTTTCACCATGTTGGCCACGGCCTTCAGACGCTCGGCACAGGACACTGATTCAGCAGCTGTTGGTGCAGAGGGAGGCGTGGCGCTGTGTGCTGACCGAGGGGATTCTGGGGGTCTGTCCTGACTATGTCCCCGTCGACTGTAAGGTGTGTTGCTGTGATTTTGAAGTTTGCTCTTCCTCATTAGGCCCTTCAAGCGGCTTGAGGCTGTCCCATACACAGGAACTGGCTCTTTGTCTGCTGGTGGTGCCTTGGAGGGAGAGGAACACTCACTGGGGGGTTTATTAGAGTGCTGAGACATTGCTACACTCTGAAGCCGTGAGCTGAATGACTGAAGCAGGGAAGCCAACAGGGTGCTCTCCCCGGCGTGAGGGGATCCCTCTAGTGCTCCATTTTGCAGGCCTCCCCCTTGGCCATTCAGCTCCATTGGGGGTGAACTCATCCGCTGGTTCCCTGGATCATTCCAGGCACCAGAGCGCAGTAGGCGGGCCTTCTTCAGGTGCTGTGAAGAACCCATTGTGGGCCCGTTGGTTCCAGCCTTGGGAGCTGTGGGGCCATGGTTGGACAGTTGGAAGGGCCCACCCACCTTGTCACCCTGCTCCTGGTTGCTGTGGGCAGCCTCAGATCTCCCGCTTGCCGTGGCCCCAGGCCCGGCTACCACTGGATGCATCAGTAAACCTTCCAGATAAGTTAGAACAGCTGAATCCTTGTGTGTCTCAGGGCCAGGCTCCTCCCCATGAGTCATGTTCAATACTAGGATCCCCTCGTATAGTTCAGCACTGCTACTAGGAAACAAATGTCCACTAGGTCATCTGGTTGACAGTGGCATTTACTTCCTAAATACCAAATAGGTGGCAGACAATTGCACAGAGTGAGTCTGCACAGGGCTGAAGGATGCACTGGCCGGATGTGATCCCTCTCTGTAGTGGGCACAGTCAGCACTGCGGTGAAACAGCAACCATGGTTGGAGGCAATCTGGGGCAGGTGGGCCTCCCAGGCATCGTTGTAGGCCTTCAAACACCGTAGGACCCCACAAGGCCCAGCTCCAGGCTTATGTGAGTAGCAAGCGAGGAGTCAGCAGGATTTCACCACAAAGATGTTGACACATTCCGTGGCTGTGGATGTTTGGGATGTCTGTCTTAAGGCCTGGCTGTGGTCTTGTCAGTGGCGCCCTTTCAGCTTTGCAGATCTCACATGGGGGACCTATGGGAGTGAGGGAGAGAGAAAAGAAGGAGGGAGGTAGAGAGATGGTGGAGAAAAAGAGGAGAAAAAGGAGAAAACTGTGTGAAAAGCAGGGATTTGCACAGCACTATATAACATTCATTTCACCACCTTGTCTGCCATCTCTGTTACTTAGCAACATTTCAGATTGACTGCACACGGCTCCTTCCCCTCTCTGCACTTTCCCCTCGCAGCCACTGAACAGACGACAAATGTAGATTAGGCATGATTGGATCCAAATTGAAAATTCAAGCCCACTACCTTGAAAACATTCAGGTCTTGAGCTGTAAGCCCCTCACAGAGATGTCTTTCAAAAGTGAAGGGCCTTATGAGAGCTCTGAATCATTTCTTATGCAGCTTGTCATTTCAGTGGATTATCCCCCCCCCCCACACACACACACAACCTCCTGCTCCTTATGCACTTGAGCAGCATCTCACACGATGCAACCCTCGATCTACACAAAGCAGGAGCCACCCACCCACATGCTCGCAAGTAAGCGTTTAAGCATTCATGCCTAAGCATGAAAGTGTGCATCGTGACATACATATGTGTGCATGCATACTCTCACACATACACAGACTGAGTGAAACCCATTTGGGTGGCTACTAGTCTCACCACTGGAGTTTAAATCAGAAGACAAGAGCAAACATGCTGACTTGATTTGAGTCGTGTTTATGGATACAGTACAGAGGCAAGGATGTAGCTAACTGATACTCGACTGTCAAGTGTGTGTGTGTGTATTTAGGGGTGGAGGGGTCTTATGGATCAGGTACACCTGCCACACCACACCACTGTCAGGAGGGCAGAGCCGGCGACACTGGGGTGAGCATTGTGCCAGTTGCCATGACAGTGTCAGCGGCGCTGCCCTGGGAGACCTCTGCTCTGAACCCTGTCAGCGTGGTTTCCGTGGATACAGGACACCTCCGACAGTCCTGGCCACATCCCATAAAGGTTAATTAATACAGAGTTACCACCTCGCCTCAGCTGCTGTCCGTGTCCTTTCCCGATGCTGCCCTCACCTTTGGTGTCCGCTGAGTGGACCAACATAGCAGGTCACACAACAGGACAGCAGCCCTTGATTATGACGAAAGGCCATGGCAACCCACGCAGCCACCACCCTGAATACTTCACAGACAGCCGGAGCAAGAGCCAAAAACAACATGGCAGTAGGCTTCTAATCAGGCTGAAATCCATCCCCGTGGCCAAGGTCCACAGGTTGTCATGACAGTAAGGGCAACAGGGTGGCACTTTAAAAGCTACCCTGAAAATGAGCTGGGATTAGAAGCTGGGATTGATCAGTGCACAATTACGTCTTAGCAGCAGTAGGAAAACAATCAGGTTGGCAATTTAAAGAACCAAAGAGGTCCACAGGTTGACTCTTCAGACTGTGCAGCACTGTATAGAACAGAATAACTTCCCAGAGATTGGCTCATCAGCGTCAATTACAGTTCACGGCCATTTTAAAGCTATTGACCTAAATCTGACAACAATAAAAGCCAACCTGGTCATACTGGGCCATCTGACGTCTGCTGTCATGCTAATCTTAGATGTTCAGGATTAGGGCTATTTTCCCGCCAGCGAGCTTAACACAATTATAATAGAACACTCTTTGACGCCACGTTTGATCAGCACAGTAAACATGTACACATGTTTACCTTCAACATAGCACAGCAAACTAACCCCCCAGTTAACAAGAGAAAAAAAAAAGTAAATGGAAAAGAAACATCGACACGATTTCAACATGGGAAATTCTGTTAATCTCTCTCCTGCTGGCAGTGAACCTTTGGAATTACAGTTGACCTTGGCTATGTTTTTGCCCAAAGAAACTTCTATACAGAGCAGACAAGGCAGCACAGGGATACTATGACTACACTATATTACTTTATATACAACAGAGCCACTGCATTCACTATCTCACATTAAGTACGAATAACTCTTAAAACGAAGTGGAGACCTTCAGGCTCTTGAGAGACATGTAATGACAGAGCCTGTGTCAGAAAGGCCCGATACAGCAAGGGCAAGAAAAAATATGTTCTCCTCAGTGACAGAGCCCTGTTAACAAATAAATGACCTTAATATAGGGAAAGCTGTCCTCTATTCTGAGCCCCTAAAGCATACAACCCTACTCCTTTCCCCTCTCAGAATGTGTGATGTGTGCATTACTATTACATTATCTCCCCTGGTGTATACATTGAAAATGACCTTACACATCTGTTAACATGTCATCTCATTGGTGGTGGCACCCAAAAAGCCTGACCTCTACCCACACCCCAACCCCCCACTGTGGGACACCACACCACCAAAAGCTGCTCATGGTTTCCGTGGTGATTATCCATTATCCTTGACAATGTCACCCAATGACAGTGCAGGCACCATTCTAAAGTGATTTTTACCCCAACAGTCGACCACGTATGTATGAGAGGGAGGCGTGAAAGCTTCATCATCCCCTGACTGGTTGGCTCTTCATCTATTTCTTTTTCTCTGTTTTACTCCTCTTCTACCAGGAACAGGACACTGCACTCTCAGCCACTTCCTAAGATACCAGATTTACCAGAAGGCCTACATAAAAATGTGCCGATGCAGATGTCAAAGATAAGTTCTCAGAATGTGACCTCAAAATTATATCCAATCCACCACCCACTGACACATGAACACACGCGGCTTTTTTTTTTAATCTTAAAAAAATGTAGTTCCTAAATGACCTTCGTTGTCAGGAATGGTAATCCATTTAAGCCATTTAAAATGTATGAGACCAAACAAAAGAATTAAAAAGGGGAAGAGTCAAAGGAGCGGCAGTTAAAGTCAAGGTCATTTATGCCGCCAAGGCTTTTCCACTTGATGCAACAGCTGGTGTCCATGCAAAGCTCTGGGCGTTAATAAAAAGTGACAATGCTGCCCGAGCGGTGTGTATTACTAATGTCTGACACCAGCCTGGCAGATGTGTTCTCCCTGCATTTAAGGGGAGTCAAGGTTAAAGGAATTTAAAAGGAGAGGCGATGCCTAAACACTATTATATCATGTAATCTGCAGCCCAGCCCTGCTGCACATACTCAACGGGGTAGCTCACTTACACATGCGGCGTGACCGCTATTTGTAAATTCAATATGGCCTGACATGATTAAATAAGACAAAACATAAGCTACCTGACCAAACGCAGTTGTTCCAAGCCTTCCACAAGTGAACGAGTGCACATGAGGAAAGTTGAATTAAAAGCTCTTGTTCACCTTGAGAGCGGTAAACAACAAGAGAATAACATGCTACTGAACAGCAGGAGACCTAGAGCAATAAGATGTTTTTTGTAGATAAGTCAATCAGAACAAAATAACCCTGAAATGCAATACACAGACACATGCACGCCCACACAATGAGAACTAGGGCACTCTGACCCACTTCTAAGGATGCATTGACCAAACAAGTCATGCATAGCACACATGCTTCCATGTGCATTCAGAGAAACAAGTGGATGTACCCCACATAAAGGAAATGTGATACATAAATGCTGAAAAGTCAGACCTCTTGTGTTAAGTAGCACAGGCAATCAATTGGGAAAAATTCATCCTACTCAGAGCACTTTGATGTGAGGAACACTGTGTTATGACTGAATGCTAACATTTCAGACTTGGACGAAATGAGCGCTAAAGTTCTTGGCCCGCATGTGGCCTTGGATGAGAAGCACGGGGGCGGGTTTTAACTTCATATGCACTCATCAGTGCAAATAGTTCTTGGGGTTGAGAGAGAGCATAGAGTAATTCATGCACACTGATGAGTCATCCAAGTAGTTCAGAGCCTCGTTGACTGGCAGAGGACCCAGCCAAACTAGCCAGCGCAACATTGATATCGCTGCACTGTATCGCAGACCCAGACGCCTTTCCCCTTACCTTACATGCCCAGGCTAGCATGGATGTGCTTATAAAAATGTTTGTGTCCATAGTAAATATTTGTGTGCCATTTGGAAGACCCACCCAAGGGCCATTTCCTGAGTGGCTGAGAATTAGTGCATCAATTAAATACACACACACACACACAAACACACATATACACATTCCTTCTTAATGAGCCGTGACTGCCATTAATCTATACCTGATTCATTTCTATTGGGCTCCGAGGTAATCTTCTGCTTCCATCGTCTGTCCAAAATGGTGCTCATTTCCCTCCCGAAAGAACACGCATTTTCCATTTGTAAACACTGGTGCTGGAAATAGGAACAGCTGATTGCCCCATGGCCAGCACGCCAAAAGGCAGAGCTAGGCTCTTGAAACAGACTGCAGTGGTGATGTCTGAGGGAAATGGGCCACTTTGCAATTGAGATCAAATGTCCCACTGTCAGGCTGCCCTGAAAGCTGGATAAAACCAGCTAAAAACCTTGGCCTTTAATGAATCATTTCCATAATATCCTTGGCATCAGCCCTAAGAAGGCTATTGCAGTGAGTCAGCAAGATGTCTGCCTTTATTGGGTTAAAAGAGTGCTGCTTTTTTCTTTTAACTGTGAGTAATTTGGGATGGTTTGGAGTAATATGGTGTGTGACAGAGGTCTAAGAGACAGAAAAAGAAGAGGACACATCTCTGCTATCATTTTGCCTTTCATAATGCTCCCATTGACCTAGTTTCTAGTTTTTAAATCATCCTAATGCTCTGAGTGAGGCTGCAGAATGATAATACAGGGTACAATGGGTTGTGAAGGATATTCCATTAGAATCATCAGAACCACAATTGGTATTTTTTTCTCATTTAGCTTAAGTAAGAATATAGTCGTATTTAAAGTTACACAATCAAAAGAATCTTTTAAATCAATTAGATACATTTAAACCAATAACAATTATGTGTAACCTTTTCCGAGAATAGCAGCATAAATCCAGTTGGCAGGGCAGAGCTGAGTACATGCCAGTAAACAGGAGACTTCAATAAGATTAGTCCTACACCTGGCCCTGATGCCCGACCCAGTGCTCACAGAGCAATACCTGGTGCAACCAAACAAAAACAGCTTCACTCTAAATATTCCTGACAGGCTAAGAATCCAAATTAGCATTCAGGTTAATAACTTTAAATACAAGTTTGTAACCTGGCTCCCAGGTAAGGGTTGAACCAAAACGCGTCCATACACCTGTTAGCTGGGTTGGTAAAGGAACCGTGTTAGAAAAACAAAATGAGTAACTGCTGTTAACTATACTTCCCCACAATGCAAGGGTTTTTAGTTAACACTAACACTGGTCAATTACATCTGAGATTACAATGGAATTTCTGCCATCACTGCCCCGCATGGTCAAAAACACAAATTCCAAAACAGGTGTCCTAGACGACTTCAGATGCTCCAAGGGGCCAAACTAAGACTAATGTCGATGTGATTTATATGCTGATAAAAAAAACACATTCATTACCATTGTTTAAACACATGGGCATGGGATAGAAATGACAACGTGGGTGAAGGATGGCGACAGTAGTGTTAGACAAAAGTTGTTACACTACTGTGGATTTCAACACTTGACTACAGCTGGTGGTGAACCTGTCAACATTACTGCCAACATGTCTAACTGTTATGACATTTTAAATTTGCCATGACATTTTAAAATCACACTACTTTTTTTTTTTTTAAACATTTCACAGCATATCAATTAGAGAATGACTCAACTCTACTGCTGACTACTCAATTGTCCAGTATTTAAAAGCTATATAGAATCTTAATATTAAGACAGTTGAAAAGCTTCATGTATGTGCATCACAATAATCTAGCATGATATAATGAGGTCCATGGCGATTTCGATCTGTACAATACAATAGATAATTCACCCCAAAATGACTTGTTTAAGAATACTGTCATTATGAAGGACTGTTAACTTTGTAGCATATTTTCAGGGACAACCTGATTTGGATATAAAATAGATAAAATAAAAAATATATAATTAGATAATAAAGGTTTTCTACACGGATTAGATTCAGCAGGATGTTAACAAACTGTCTTTGCCTGCTAAAAGCCCTTCTTGATGTGCCCAAGATCATCATGATCTCCAACTGAATCAAAGATAAATCCATATCTTAGGGCAAAACACACGTTATCTAGCTTGACCTGCTCCCTATAGTTAAACTTTCCCCTCACCATTAAGTCTTGAAAGCTAACACACAGTGGTATGCACTACTTACTAAATACAGCATGAGCGCTACAATTCAAAACATGTGAGGCCCTGTCTGAGCTATTCTTTGTCTGTCTAGTATTTGTGGATGAGTTGCCTCGGCTAGGAACTCATTATTACACAGATTTGCAAAATATGACCTAAGAAATATGTCAGGTTTATCCCAGTTCTTTACAGTACTACCTCCCAAAATAGTTCACACCAGCCATGGTTAATTAGGCAGAGAATTTGGAAAGGAGCCAAAGAAATTTAAACGGACATTATAACTGGATTTTGGCAACACAATGCATGCGACAGTGGTCTGATGTCAAGTCAGGTGTTTGTTAGCAGGCCTCGCTATATGCATATGGATCATGTGATAACCACGTAATAATGCAAATATGAATAAACCTGCATTTATAGTGGACTTAAAACAGGCTGAACAGATAAAACTGTGCTGAATCAGTTAACGGTGGTCACATTCTGTCAGTGAATGGAGGGTTCCTGATTTTGTCCCGGCCGGGGACGAGCAGTGAATATAACGGTCCCTGCAGTGGCCACTGACAACGCACTGCACAGAACTGGCAAGCTGAGCTGATCAGTGTAATTGACTTTGAACGAAAACTACACAGTGAAAGAAAAATAAAAGTAAGTATCTAAAGATGAACCGGTCTTCCTTTACATATTTGGTTCAGTCACCAATGACAAAGTAGTGGTGCAGATGAACAGAGGTACAGTATTTATGTCAGTGGGTCTTGTTTCTAGTTGTCATTACTCAAACCACTGCTGGTTTTCTAAGCAGAGTTTAATTGTAATTAATTGTCTTCACATGGCAGCCCAGGTGTAATCACTGCCTGCGTAGCTAGAATGAAACCCAGCAGGACTCTGGAGCCTGAAGACCAGAACTGAACCCATCTTTTTAAATAAACAGCATGTTGATAGAAATTATAAAAAAGAAAGAATAACAAAAAAGGAAATGGAGTTTCACAGAATTTTTTGTTGCTTTGAAACTGATGAGGTCGCCTTTACTGTAACCACGGGAAACACTAACTGTCACTAACTGTCAGTCTAGATCCAGACAAGCACGAGGCCAAGGCTTGCAGGAAATTAGTCTGTCTTCCTTCAGTCAGCCATTGACTATTAACTCGGACCGAGAGAGACAGACAAGGCCAGCACCCAACTGCAACCGGCCTATTATTTCGCCGTAATGAAGGCGGACGGGAGGACAGAGAAAATCCAATGGTAAACGTAGTCAAATGTTCTCAACAGAGTAACAAAAAAATATCCACACTAAGCCAAATGCTAACCCAACTATTCTGCTTTGGTTGGGAGGTGAACACAGACACACATCATGCTCCTGTACCTTGTCATCCTTAGCTGTGGAGGCTGATACAGGTAAAGTGCAGTAATCAATTTGCTCTACTGGCAGGAGAGCTCCTTTAGAATACTAATCAGGCTTCAGCCCTCCCCTCTTCTCCCTGTTCTTGTGATCCCTCCGCCACTGCCCCCTCTGCCTTTCTCCTTCCTTGTTCACCTTTCTCATGACTTGACACCCCCCCCCCCCCAAGTGCCCCAGACCTGACCAAATGCTAAAGGAGGGCGGGCTGTCTTCTGCACAGATAACTGCTGCCACTAATCAAGCCTACGTGCACCGGGGCGTGGGATTAAAAGAGCTTGCACAGCTTGACTCAGGCACTGAATGGTGTTAGCACATACACACACACACAAGCAAACACACACGAGGTCAACATAAAAACCTATAGGGAAGCCAGCAGCGTCTCGTCCTAGAAACACACACATACACACAAGCCTCACACGAGCAAACAACACAACAAGGTCAACTTAAAAGCTGATGTTAGGTGAACATTCTCGGGCTATAAAAGAACACACACACAAGAAGATTAGATCTAAATTTGCTCCGCCAGTCAAAACGGGACTCGGTGGTGAGCCACCCATCTCTATCTCTCAGAACACATGTCACGCGGGGAGCTGCAGTGTTGTGCGCATCTAAAGCGAAAAAGAGGAACAAACTCGACTGTGAATTGACAGGGCCTTAATTCCCGTTCGTTTTTCATTTGGAGAGATGGCTTACAAGGGGGGGGGTCTCAACACCATATCAAACACATACCAGAGTTGCCTGGAGGCTGTAACAAAGCGTCCCTCAATGTTACACTGTGCACACACATACACTTATACAGGCAATAGGAGTGTGTGTATGTGTGTGTGTGACAGAGGGAGAAAGAGAGACAACGCCACCCTATGCATCAGCAGGGATATTTCATTATGTACATAACGAGTGCCATTAATCGCTCTTAACAAGAGGACACAACCTCACCTTGGCAGTCTCACATGCACAGCAGGAAAGGGGGGGGGGGGGTTTGGGGTGGGGGCATGGAAATATCTACAGTGCCCACAGAAATTAAAATTCACCACACTCAAGTATCCACCGCCTCCTTTTGACCGACCACGTCGCGGCCCGGGGGTGTGTGGAGGCAAGCCAGCAGTCATATAGAAGCTGCTCGTCTGATAGACACATAAAAACACGTAAAAAAGTTTTCTTTAAAAAAGAGGAAGAAGAGGAGGGACAGGGGAAGAGAGCAAATATAAATAAATAAATAAAAGTGGGGGAAAATGCCGCAGTGGCGGCTGCCAGCGGGGGCTCGTGCCCTTGACATACTGACACGGGTGGAGGAGGGAGGGGGGCACTGTCATGTGACACTCCTGTCATTCGCTTCATCACCCGTCTGTCCATCCGCTTGCCCAGCCCAGCCACCTGGAAACCCCTCCACCCACAATCCCAATATCTCAGCCACCTTCGCGCAACCTCATCCTCCGTTGACCTGACGCCGCTTGCCCACCCCCACCACCCGTCCTCCCCCACCTATGCCCACCGCCGCACCCCCACTCTGCCCCTCTGCAGTCCTAGCACCCCGCCCGACCCAACCCCTAGCGCTCTGTCTCCCCCCTCCCCTCTCCCTCCCCCGCGGCTGTGCAGCAAGGTCAGCCGGGTCACCGTGTCCTCATCTGTAATCCGCTGCCATTCGTCAGCAGCCCCGGCCCAGGCTGGAGGAGAGAGAGGAGAGGCAGGCGCTCCGACGAGGGGAGAATGCCCAATTAGGCAGCTGTCACACACACACACACACACACACACACACACACACACACACACACACACACACACACACACACACACACAGCACAGCAGAACAGGAGAGAGAAAGAGGAAGGGAGGGAGGGAGCCTGCAGAATCAGCCTACTGTCCACGGGAGGGGGGGGGTACATGAATCCTTTCAGCTGTGAGTGTCTGTGTATTGTTTTGGTGTGTGGAGCAGTTGGGGGGGTCAGCTACAGTTTAGATATGTATGACTACTTTCTGAGGCATGTCAACAGGAGGGGCAGCGGGGTGTGCACACTTTTGAGGATACAAGAGTTAAATGAAATTTTATGACGGGGCAACTATTCTTATCTCGAAATGAAACGGGTGCTGAGTAGTACCTCTGCGTGCTGTTAAGTACCTCGCTTATCTATAACCACAAGATTGATGAGATGATCAGGGAGAAATGGCTTGGTGCTACAGGGGACAGAAAAACACCACAGGGCAAACTGGGTTTAATGGCCGGTTGGCAATTTAAACAAATCCAAAGGCCGGGTCAACATGTACCCAGACGGAGTGGACTGTGGACTGGAGGTGTAGCGCCACACTGAAATTCTTTACAGTCCCAGACTAGCAGAAATCAAATGGGTGACAAATATCCTATAATTGGATCATTCATCACCAGCGAACACATCTGTTTTGAGTAATGGGAAAACTAATCAGCAAAAATGATACAGAGACGACTCCACGCCAGGCACCAGGAAGATTTATGCTGGAGCGATTCAGGACTCAAGCCTGTACCTATTGATTGTTTAGTCTAAATGCTTTCTCGTTTAATCAAAAGAAAGAGTCAAAATGGTACTCCGCCAGCTAGGTGATGAACAGGTGTGATCGAACGCCCTCGGGGCTCGGGGACACACGGTTTTAGCTGGTGGGAGGAAACTTTTTCTACACTCTTTTCTTCCTTGGCTCCACTTTAAAATGTCAAAGTTCACCAGGGTTCAGTGGAGCTTCAAATCCAGCTTTGAGTGGTTAGTGTTCAAAAGCATTGCGTCACATGTGCGAGGGACACTTATCCAGTAAATCCTGTCTGAGTAGAAAGTACAGTTCATAGAGACTTAGGCTAGATGTCATACAGGCTGGACACATATGTTCCTCCACCCTAGGGGAAGATTTTCACTCGGCTACAGGTGTCTGGGGTAAACCCGTCCTCCCTACTAGACAGTCCACTGGCACACATACAAAATGGAAGCTCCCTTCTATGCAGGCAGAGGAAAAAGGCCCAGTTACATTAATATAGTTAGAGCATGCAAAGGGGATAAACACTGAAATCCCCTGAGCAACACGCCACAGAAAGGACTTTCTCTGCTGCAATTTGAATGTCAATTTATTATTCATTACTTGAAGTGACTTTTTCCAAGGTAGCACCACTCATTTTCTCTGTGTTTTCTGTGGCAAAGTATAAATCATTTACTGTTTACTAGCAGATTTGGAGCTGGCATCTACCTTAAGACGTAAAACGTGACTTTGGGCAATTGCAAAGTTGTCTTATTCACATGTTGTGTGTTCCTCTGGACGGCTGTGGGCAGTCGCAGAGGCTAAGCTAGCTGTTGATGGCCAGTAAATCCCTCCAAAATTGCAGGCTGCCTGTTTGTTCAATCACAATGTCTCATTTTCTATTTCTACATGAGTTAAATGCAGAAGATGTGACATGAGGGTTGAGGATTTGAGGATGTTTAAAGGTACCATTAACAGAGCTTGGCTGAGTAACTAAATGAGTAATATATTACTTTTAGCTGCTGAGTAATTAGTGAAGTAATTATTCAATGAGTAAGTCATTACAGTTTTCAAGTAACTTGCCCAACACTGTTTAATAATATTAGTATATATTAGCAAATAGTGTAAAGAAATGATTTCTATTAATTTTATTAAAAAAAATATATAAAAGGCATGGAATTATTAAGACATAAAAACTAACTCCACTGTTGCCCTAGATTCCTACTTTGGTTACTTTGTCATGCTGGAGAGACTTCAGCATCAGCTGCATTTTGTGAAATCAATGTAAATGATATGTACCCAGCAAAATAAATTTGACTTTGATAAAAAATAAAAAATAAAACTACTGCAATCCAATCCTACTCCTATACTTTGGAACAATGTAATAAGAGAAGGAATACTGTGATACTGTATGAGAAAAGAGATACTATAAAGTTCATTAAGGTAAAGTCACTGTAAAGTCCCACAGACACTACAAGTCCCTACTTTAGTCATTTCTGTCAGGCGACTCCACCCATCTTTGTGATTGTTATTATAATGACTCAGTGTTTTGTTGGCCAGTTCTTGCTCCGTTCTTCCAGCACTGAAAGTACCTAAAGTGCTCCCAAAGTCTAAAGATTGTAATCTGTGATGTCATGTTGATGCATAGCCTGAAGCAGCTCCATTAGCGGCCTGACTGACTTTGTGGACTCATACAATGTCTGCCTGTACTTTTACATCTGCAAGGAAATTTAGATGATAGTAGGGCTATTAGTTCTGTTCCAGAAAACATAGCCTTATCTTTGTCCAAAAATCATCCTCATTACTTTCACCTTGAGCTTCTTTTCCAATTCATTGTATATTGGTGTGAAACCATAGGCTAGGAGGCGTATCTCATTTCTGGCTTTGGATGATAAAAACTGAACTAGTCTACAAGGCTAGATTTCAACTGTATAAAATAATAATTGGATTCTATTAATAATGTAATACTTTACTGAGGGAAATCCTCTCCACTTTCCCTTCCACAGGCAGGTCAGAGGTCAGGGTCAGTTACATAGGCAGTATGCTGACTTGAACTCAGGTCCTCAGGCTAAAGGACGCTACGTAACCTCACTACACTACAATGATGCCTTAAGTGCAACCCTGATATGAACAGCTGTGTGCTGTCGTAGGACAGGACATTGTTCTCACTGTGCAGTCACAATGTAATGGGCACTGCAAGCTGATACCTGATTGACCGATGGACACATGACTACAATGTAAACAAAATGTGGACGAGCAAATATGGAGCAGTCCATGGATACTGTAGACTACATTCTATTTCCTATGCTCTCAGTATACCTGGATGATATTCAGTGATGAGCTCACTTTTGTTGCAATGATATCAAAACATAAAACAAATGTATGACTGCCACTGATGCTGCAAATTTATATGAACATAGCTCTTGATTAACGATATTCAAGTTGTAATGTAGGGACTACAGATGAAAAATAACCTTTTGGCTAAGTAACTAAGCAATGATTATTAATGTGAACTGTCCCTGATAAATAAGCAAATAAATAAATAAAATATGATAGAGGTTATGAGAGCTAACTCAACTGTCATTAATTTAAAAAAAAAGGCCTTCAGCTTACGATTGCATACATACAAGAGATATTTTAACTTTTTTCTATCGCAGCACAGGACTTGTTTCATGACGTTCAGTCCTTCCCACACATAAGCTATGTTAACAGCCCCCCTAGCGTGTTGTACATTTTATGTATTATTTATTTGATCTTTATCTATCATTTATTTATCATCTATAAATCCAAAGGAGACATTATTACATTATAATAGCGGTAATATATTACACAAATCCCCACATAAGCGATTCATATACATACATAGTAGGGGAACCACAGGTGTTACTAATAACATTAATGATGGCTCTGTTCTATTCCAGTGTCCTAGTAAGAGTGTGCCAGCATGCACACCCCATTATTTACACTTGTGCTTTTCCTATTGTGATGCCTCAAAATATCTGTTTCAAAGCCCCCGCCGCCCCCCAAAGTATATTTCTGACTCCTGAACACTGATGTGGCAGTTTACCTCAGCCCAGCTGCACAAAGGCTGCGCACAACTCCTAATTAGGATGGGATAACAGAGATTTGTAGGCTTGGCGTAATTAAAATGCTGAGTAACTGTACCAAAAATGATTAGATTCACATTGCAAACGCCATTACCATTTAGCTACCAATCACTTAAAATAAGTAACAACCATTCAATGCCTGGACTTGTGACTACAACTCTACTTTCGCTATTACTCCATTTGTAACCACCTGATGATGCAGCGCGTGCTCTCTGAAGTGAAGGCTGATTGGTCCAAAAAGGTGAAATTCACTTAAGCTAAAAACACACCTAATCTCAGCCCTAAACTGCAGAACATTTGGAAGCGACTGCCATTGTCACTGTCCCTTTAAATAACTTTAGGACCTTTTTTCTCTTCTCTACCTCCCTCCCCTGAGGTTTATCACTGTGACTCTCTTTCCTCTCTTCCATCTTTCCCCTCTCTCGCTCTCTTTCACACACAAACGCTGCCTGTATGTGTGGCTGGCAACTACAAAGCAGTTAGCCAAGCATCTCTTGGCTCTGTGCAGAGAGAATAAGACGCTCTCATTACTGCCTTTAAAAAGCTCTTGCCCTAACAAAATCCACTGTAGACCCAGACACTGGTGCAGAAAGTCACAGGAAAGATTCAAAGAGTTAAAGGCTACTTTTCCCCTTACAACTCAATTCTGAGTGTGTGTGCATGTCTGTGGTTGATGGTTTCTGCACGCCCCCTCCCCGTTCCCCTTTCCTGTTCCTCTTTAATGTCACAGGGCTGGCTCATATGACCTTGAGCAGCAGCGTTGGCACGGCAAGAGCGAGAGCTGCCTTGCCTGCGGGCGCCCTTGAACTGGATCTGCAAGACAAAAAAAAAAAAAA